AACCAAACCAACAACACAGAATCATCCAATTTAAACCAATCCAACAACTACTAAGACTACCAACAACTACCTAGTTTGTGATATCAGCATCCGCTGGAAGCGAGGGTTAGCTTGTCATCTACCAACCAAACAACTAGGGTCCTTTAATGAAGTAAAAATCCTCTTGTCTTTGAGGTCAGTAGTCTTTCATCCCAACCCTTTGTTTTGGTAGACTTCAAACAATAACCACCTTTACGATAAACATCTAATAAATGATATATTTATTGGATATCATACATGACAGGTTTCCAAAAAAGGAAGGGATATCACTCTAGTTATAACAAGTTTCAACTATCCGGAAATCTGTTAAACTGCACGATTTTATCTGGAACGGAAATGTAAATGAGGCTCCCTTTTATTCTGTTTTTATTTGCCTAGTTGAAGTTACTGCTCTGTATCTATTTGTATGTTTCATAAGGTCAGAAGTTTATTCTCATATTACCTTTGAGTTCACAGTGAGGAGTTCAATGTCAAAGTTAGGGAAGCCACACCAATAGTTACAACTCTTTAAACTCCCACTTTAGTCTTTGTTGTCTCAAAGATGTGAACTAGAGCTTCATACAATATTTTAAACGCCTACTTAAGGCTTCAATTTCTCAGTTTTCAAGGTCATGATCAGGTGTTGAAGGTCATGTTTAGATTTTTATGTTCTCTCTGTGATTGAACTTTCCATACTTAAATGAAGCCCAACTGAGATCTTTGAGGTCATCCAAATCTCACTGATTGTGGTGTCCACTGACAGTCATTACATATAACATATATATAACAAATAGACTGAATGACAGTAGATCTCATCAAATGATAGACAAACAGAATGGGTCAGAAGATGTAAAAGCCAAAAAAAAAATAAGTAAAAAAATTGCATAGAAATAACCTCTACAGAACAAAGATGACAATCTTGAGCACAAGATCGTTTTAGATTAGAAACTTGAAAAAAGGTATTCTAAAAGGCTTTCCAGACAAAATTTCCCTTATTGTACATGACAATGACAATGCCTTTATTGTCCATCACTGCACACTGCCTGTCTTCATCAACCTAATCAGGTAAAGAAAGCAGGTTGTAAAACTCTATTTCATTTCATTTTCACGTGTTATAAGATTGATGCTGTCAATCAAAGCTGTTGAAGTAGAATCTCTATATCTTATACTCTGTGATCAATATTCTTCAACTCTAATTAACCAAGATCAGGTTAGACTTTCTCAAGTTGTAGACAAGTAATAGATACTATCAACTAGAGTCACTAGACACTGACAGTCATACAGTAACCTTCAATTGATGGAGAAATATCAGTCATCTCAGGTTTCTATTGTTTAGACACAATCTAAATATTGTTATAGAAATTTCTTTATTCTTTATCACTCTGCAATTAGTGCAAACAGTGAAAAACCTTCTTATTATGTATAGTTAGATGCAGAAGTGACACCAGTGACATATGTGGTGCCCCATCTGCCTTCTGTAGAAAGGTGGTTTGTGTCCCCAATTGCACTCCTTCTGATTTAAATTACAATTTAAAAATACAATTTTTGTAGGCTTAAGCTTATGTGTCAGAATGCAGCAAATTTGGGGAGTGAACCTTCTCAGACGCATTTCCAAGGCTGCAGCATATCTAATTTCAATCTCAACAGTTGTCCCCCCATAAAGTCAGACTGATTGTATTTGTACCCCCAATCTCGCAAGGCTGATACCACCACTGGTTAAATTGAAAGTACTATTCTTTCCTGACCATATAAAGGCAGAAGAAAATATGTCTGGAAAATCTTTTTTTCTTCATTTCTGTTACACATTTGTTTTTCAATATATTATTAAGTCATTAACAAATTAACATCAGTTAATAATTATCAAGAAATCATAACAGTTAAAAAGAGGTTTAATCATAGAAGGCAAACATAGAACTGACCACTATTATACATATGATTGGATGATTCACAGGAATAATGCCCTAAAAACTGTGGAATATGAATGAACTGTAAAAACCTATAACTTTATGATGTATATTGAAATGCCAGTCAATATCAAAGGTTTTTCAACTGAGCTATTGTACTACAATAACCCAATATTTTTTCAGTGAGTCCAATCATTAAAGATAGAGTGTGAATGGTTATCAATTATTATAAATATCAATAATCTATCCGACAATAACATTAAATATAATTATTAATATTATCATGCTCTAATAAACACTTAATCTCTTCAACTAGACTGTTATTTTCTACTAATTAATAACATATTATACAGTATATTCATATTGTGTATACATAGGCCTTTTAGCTTCACATTTTAATCATGTATTTTATATTCAGTGGAAAAGGCCTTATTCCTTTTAATATTGGCCTTTATCCTCATCAAATTATAAGCCTTTATCATCATAAAATTAAAATAGGCCTCCTTTATCCTTATAAAATAAGGCCTTTATCCTCATAAATAGACCATTATCCTCATGAAATAAGCTTTTATTCCTCATAAAATAAGCTTAAAATTATTCCCCCTCATAAAATAAGCTTAACATTATTCATACTCGTAAAATAAGCTTATACTCGTAAAATAAGCTAAAATAAGCTTATACTCGTAAAATAAGCTTAACATTATTTATACTCGTAAAATAAGCTTAACATTATTTATACTCATAAAATAAGCTTTTATCCACTAATCCTAATAAAATAGGCTCTTATCCGCAAAATTGGCGATTACCTCAAAAAAAAAGAAAAATAAATAAAAACTCAATTTTAATTACTAGAGCGAAAATATCAAAGCTTATCTACTTACGTTAAAAAACATCGAAGTTGAAATATTTCCACTGTCAATCTCTATTTTAATTCACACAGTTTAGAGTGATAATTCCTGTAATTTCAACTTGACACTTCTCCATAAACTTGATGAATCTTGTCACTTTTTTATTGATTAAGTGACCTAGCGGTAAATTTGATTCACCGCTTTGCCTTCAAGCTTTCTGCTGTAGCTTTATTAGAGTTTATGAGACATAGCGGCAAAACACACTTACCGTATGAATTTGACATCTAAGGCGGCCTATATCAATGACAAATTTGGCACTATTTCAGAGAAACTGTGGCGATATTCCTTGATATTTTGGAACACATGCTTTCACATAAATGATATACTATTGGAAAATAGACGAAATACGATAACAATAACACAGATATCCAGAAATAGATCTTTTTTTGTTTGCATTTTAGTCGAGAATATCTGGTTCGGGTATGTCTGGATAAAAGAGACTCTACTTTCAGTTTCACAGAAGACAGTGTTATAAGTTTGTTGGTAACAATTCTTCATTTTATTATAGAAAATAACATTGTTAGTTCATTCTATTCCTGTTGTACATTGGGATAATATCTAAATAAAACCTACAGATTCTTTCTGTGACATGGCTTGTAGGCATACATAGTTATGTGAACTTGCTACAGTTACCACGAGTGGCAAATAGACACTCTCTCACTCCACCTCTCGTCCTCTCTTGTTAGCCTAAGCCATAATTAATAGACAGTGCTCTCCAGAGTTTGCTAATATCGTTTCACATATTTTGTGCTAATGCTGATAGAGAGAGCATGAGACCATCAATTTGTACCCAGGTTTTATGGATGGAACATTGATTATGGTCTCCTGCTCTAGAAGTCGTTTTGCAAAAGTAATAGGCTGCCAATTTTACACTACAGCCACAGGCAACATTATTGTCAGTGTATATATTTTTATTTTAAGCTAGAAGAAGAGTGAATACAGATTGAAAGAGAGTTGGAATGAGTAAAAACTGTCCAGGCTCAAAACTAGAGAATAATACAGTAGGAGTCACCTAGTTAGTTCAACATGAATAAACAGAATAATGGTAGCACAGATATTGAGGTTTATAAAAAAGACGAGAGAGGGGTGCGTTTTTGATACAATCAATATCTATCTATATTTTTTTTTTGTCATATTAGAGAACAACAATAGCTCATTTAACCTTTTGACCAATGACAGGTCTCGAAAATGAAATCAAGTGACAGTTGATGTTGAAATGATGGAATGGAAAATAGTTAGTTTTTAGAGTGTGAAGACTGCTCTCCCATTGTCCCATTGGATGCAAATATACAAATGTATATTTTATCTGTTAAAACTTTGAGTGACAAACAACTGGTCACTTTCATGGTTAGGTCCTTTTTTTTTATGTTTTTCTTCAACCATAAGATTCAGGTTTAAATTCTGAAAAGTGATAGGCCTACATATCAGGTTATGATATTTGTGAATGAGTAAAGCAAATAATAAACACTCATTCTATGTACCAATTTTCAGGAAGATAAGAGTACTATAACAAGTCAATGTAAAGTCTGTGAAGAAGAAGAGAGTCTAGGTGGTCCCAGATTTTGTCCAGCTCTGTATATACAGAGATATGGTTTTATTAGACAAATTCTAGATAAACATCATGTTACTAGTGTGAGTAGAATTTATTTGATATACATTACTGACCTTGTGGATTCTCTGAAAGGGATGAAGGATTTTGTCACAGAATAGCATCAGGTGTTTTGAATACAACAAATAAACAATAATGCAGGTATGTGCACTCTCTGAAAGAGAAGTTGAGTTGAAAAACACCCAGCCTAAGAATGGCATCAGGTGTTTATAGATGGTGAATTTTGAGTTTTAGTACAATAAATATACACAAAAACAAACACAATATTGGCTATGTGAACTCTCTGAAAGGTAAGGCAGGGTGACAAAGATATTTTTTAAGTTTGTTTTTTGCTTGTTTCTGAAACAAAATTATGATCTAGAAATTTTAAATGTAACATAAAACAATAAATATCTCTGGCATTATATCGGTATTTTTTAATCAGGCGATATTATTAACAATATAAATTGCTATACCAATATTTATCGTGATGCCAGTATATCGCCCAGCCCTACCATCAAAGATGGTTGCAATATAACTTTATCTTTGAATTAAAGAGATTTGGATTTATAATTGTTTCAGGTGGTAGATTTTGGATGTGCTGAATGTAAAATATTAACTTTGATAAAAACTGTGAAATCATTAGAGAAGATATTATTGGTTGACATAGATGACAAGCTTCTACAGAGTCGAGAATACTGTATCCGTCCATCATTGGAGGAATTTCTTCATCACCGTGACAACCCATTACATATTCAGTTACTAGCAGGAAGTGCAGCCATATTGGATGAGAGGATTATGGGAGTAGAAGCTGTTACGTTAGTTGAAGTGTAAGTTTCTGACTGAGCCAACATTTGCCTTTCCATTTCAGTATTTTTTCCAACATTATTACTGAGATGGATGTCTTCGGAGATACTTTCCCAACAAATATTTGTCTGATGCCACTCAGTATACAGTATACAAATTCAGCAAACTTTCATAATCCATGTGTGTATTTAAGTTTAGCATGGTTAAGATTCTCAAGTAATGCATTGATATGGAATTTAGTAGCAAAACATGATAAGATTTGTGTCGTTTTGGCAAATGTTATCACTTGTACTCTATTAACTAACAATGAGACTGCTTTCTGCAGAGTTTCTTCTTTCTACAGCTAAAACTTTCTGTTTTAAAATCAGCTTTGAATATCTAATGATAAGTCATTATTTTTTATTACAGTATAGAACATCTAACAGACGATATTTTAACAGAAGTAACAGAGAATATCTTTAATAACCTCCATCCAAGACTAGTCATAATAACTACACCAAACTCTGATTTCAATGTATTGTTTCCTAATTTTACTGGCTGTAGACATTGGGATCACAAGTTTGAATGGAGTAGAAAACAGTTTCAGCATTGGTGAGTAAGATATTCTTATTGACAATCCTTACTCTAACTTAAAGCTATCATGCTCTAACTAGGCTAGAATTAATTATTAAAAAGAAAATTAAGTTGGGCTGTCCACCATATTTATAACTATTAGTCACCATACTTGTTGAAAAAATTTGGCACACACCCACCCACCCACTATAAAGGCAGGTTAGACACGCCTATCAATTAGTTGATATTAACAAGTGTGGCAACTGTTAGTAGTAAATATTGTGAACAAGCAGGCTTATTTTTGAAAAAAAAATTACCGTAATTCAAGCATGATAGCTTTAACAACAAGAGTAAGGGGAGATTTTGTTTGTTTTGAGAAATCATAAATATTTAGTCAACACTCTTCAATTTTGAAGCCTATATTGTTCTTCTTACAAAATTAACTACTGGAAAAAAAGGGCTGTTTTTGTTCATGTTTCAAATCATGTTTATATAGGTTTTTATTTAAACCTGTTATTACGAGTTTTTATTCTGATATATTTGAATCTGTTATTATAGGTTCATTATTCTGATATTTGAATCTGTTATTATAGGTTCATTATTCTGATATAATATATCATTATTATTGGATTTTGGATTCTGTTATTACAGGTGTGATACAGTTTGTTGCAAGTATAACTATACAGTAGAAATAACTGGTATAGGTGAACCTCCTGAACACAGTCAACATGTTGGTTTCTGTTCTCAAGCTGCCATCTTTACTTCCCTTGAAACCAACAGGCAGTCAACTCAAATACCTACTGTCAATTATAAACTGGTTTGTTTTGACTTATACTTCTAACTAATAGTTTTTAGTTTTTCCCGAATGAAATTGTTTTAACAAGAGTACTGTTTGTCTTGAATATGGATAGAACCTTTCTATGCATAGACACACATTTTCCCCAAGAAATCCCCTCTTTACATTGAATATTAAATAATAAAGGCCTAATAAATAGCAACTGTTCAGCATTGATCTGTTATAATAATAAGTTTTTATCTATACTCTCAATTTTATTATGCAGATTTCAGAATATCACTATCCTTTTAAAGAAAAGAAACTATCATTAGAAGAAGAACTGGATATCGAAGTCTTGTATTATATTAGAAGACAGTGTATATTATCCTTGAATGACCAGTCTGAGGATTCAACTGTAACAATACCTATACAAGATTTACTCCATATTAAATTTGTGAAAACTCTTGAAAATCCAGAATTATATATCAGGTTAACTCTTTAAAAACTTTTCATTCAGTCTTCAAGAAACCATTGATAGAACTGAGTTCAGCTGACATTTGATTGCCTTGAACATTTTGAAACTCGGAATCTTGACTAATCATTCATGTATAATCTACTCTCTTAAATACCTCAGGAACTGGCAATGTCTAATTTATATCCATTGTGGTGATTATTAACAGCACAATGATTGTCTTGCTGGCGATGCAATACTTGTAATAAAAGTTTGTAAACTCAGTTCGCCTTTGTATTGAAATTGTTATTTACATTATACAATTAACTACATCTCTATTCTTAACAGTTTTATATGATGTTATTTTATGCTTTATTAGAATATTGAATTGTAGGAAGTATATACAGAAGAAGTTTAGAGTATCACAAGATAATATTGTGATAGATATCACAGACTATGTTCAGACTGATTGTGATAGCTCAGATAATAACCTTGATGATAATGAACTAGATGATGGTGTTGAATACTGTAATGAGAATATTGTGAACTCTCTAGATTACATAGAGGAGCCAGACTGGGACTGACAATACTGTGATCAACAAGGACAGATCTAGAAAATATTGGTGATGAAAAGGCATCGGAAAAATACTGGATTTTGATAGTTTCACCTAAAACATATGCAAAGTTTTATGTCTTTGATGCAACATGTGAATTTTTTAAATTTTTGTTAAATTTTGATGCAGTATTAATCTGTCAAGTGTTTTTATGCACACAAACAAAAGAGTTGATTATTTCATTGGAGAATTGGTGTATGTAAGTCAGACCAATTTTACATTTATTTCCACTTTAAAAACAAAGTACTGTTCTTGATAACATTAGAAATACACCTGGTTTGTATATTAACTGTAGATGAGTCACAAGGAATGACAAGAGTATCCAATGTTAAGACAATATATGAATGTAATGTTATACGATTCAATATTTACTGCCATGGGATGTATATCATTTATAATTCATGACTGGAGTTAGTTACTGCTTACATTTCATGATTTATGAAAACTAAATAAACATTGTTTTAGTAAAATGACAAATTCAAGTAGAAACATACTTTTGCCTGTGTTTATTATTATGTAAAATTATCACAATAAATCCATTCGTACAGAATATATTAATTAAAAATCTCTGCCAGACATGTTATGTGCCATAGTAAAGTTGTTCACAATTTTAAACTTATAGTTCAACACTAACTGCAAATCTTTCTATTTACTATGTAAGCAAAGAGCAGGAAGTCTTTTTGTTAAGTATGATCAAGTTATAAAACAATCAAAGTTTTTTATTTCTTTTATTTGATAACCTTTTTGTTGTGAAAAAATAAACATAATACAAATTTTCACATCTTAGATTTCATTTTATTCAACATAAAACTCAAAAAACTTGGATTCCACCATACTGTTGTATACCTTAGAAAGGTCTAAAAGCTAGGCAATCCCATGAAGTGTGCAATGAGCAAATACATTACTGTAATAACTTACCTCCAATAAATAAAACTTTAATCTGCATATATTACATAGGAAGGAGAATATGACAAAAGTTGCAAAACTATTGTCAGAGACAAACTGAAATATTCTTCTGACTTATGTTTGCCCAATGGTTCATAACCACACTTGTACAAATTACATTTCCTTGCTAGTGAGAGGACTTACCACTGACTAACCTATGAGCTCAATTGTGATTGATCTGGAGACAATAGTCTGTTGATAAGGAAACATAAGTTATAACTTATAAACATAACTTATAATTATAAATAACTAAGAAAAATTAAAACATGCACCAAAATCTACCAATCTGTACTCTATACCAAGCCTAATTTTTGTTGTTTTTCGTACCTGATAATGCTTTAGATTTTCAGGAAATTAAAAAGTTATCTGTTGGAATCCTCCCATTTAAGAAGCAGTGTGCACTGGTTTAATTGGTATATTTCTAGATACATGTACTATTTAATAATCTAAGAGCAATTCAAATTTCTAATTTAAAATCAGACTAATTTTCAAAGGACCAAGTACAAGCTAATGAAGTTTTTAAAACAATAATTACCAATATTTATTGACATTTAATGGAAGGATCAAGCACAATTTTACAATGTTGATGTGATCCAATTAATGTACTAATATTCAATTGAAACTGAAACAGTATAATGTAGGACCTAAAGTAATTATGAGGGAAATAAATTGCTTTAAATAAACTGTTTCTTAAATTATTTCAGATACTCTTTTTCGGAGACCATTTAATATGCCAAAAATAGAATACATTGGGAGTAAGACAAACTACTCTTGAAATTATGCACATTCATCTATTTGACACCCCTTGACTTTCTGGTGAGCTATTCCTCACAGGCATATTTTCTACCCAAAATATTGAAATATGCATGATTGGAATAGCCCATTTGTAAAATAGGGGGGTTTGATGGTGCCTGTCAAACATCAATGAATTCATCGATCTCTCTCAAAAATAAAATTATTTTTATTCAGTATTTCATTTAACAAATAATTTGTTGTTTTGTTCCGTTTTATTTTTGTTATTTTTAAAGTTGATCATATGGAATGAGATCAGTCTGAATCAGACAATATGATAACATCAGGATCACACATACTCGAACTAACTTCATTGCTCGCAAACTCTTCCGTTGTACTCTGACAGATATTATCTTCCTCAACTTCCATAGAATTTGACACACAATCCAAATCAGCTTCATCAATTTCAATTAAGAATGAATCCACCTGGACTGTTGTCTTTTTTAAAGATGTAGTTGGTAAATGTTTGGACATTTTACGCGGAGATCTGGGTAAGTTCTCACTGGACGTGGATACCTGTGAACAGGAATTTTGTTGTGAACAAGATTTAGAAGTTTTTGCCCTATTTTCTGTTTTTGAGTTCAAAGTTTTCGAAGGATTTCCTACATTGACCTTTGCCTTGTTGAAGAGATTACTCATTTTGTTGCGTATAGATAATGGATTTTGCATGTTTAAAAACTCTGGCAGTTTTAGCGTTTTTGGAGCACACTTTTCTAATTTAATTGACGAATCACATTCAAAGTCGTCATCAATCAAAACACATTCCGAATCTGGTTGGTCAATCACTTGACAATCATTTGATTCGCTGTCCTCTGAAAAATCACACATTAATAATGGTTTCCTGGCACTGGATGACTGAGGTTGAGAATCACACGAGTTCGATTCCAAATCGTCACGTTTTTCTGAAATTTCTGTATCATTGTCCTGGATATCTGAAGTCATGGACTGACTGTCGTCGGAAATGTCACAAACCTCTTGACTGTCACCAGCCGAACTGTCAATGAGAGGAGAGGCAGATTTTTCGGGCAAGTCTTTATTGGACAGAGATTCCACAGTTTTGACGTCAGACTTTGAGCTAGAGTCAACAGTTTTATTGTCTTGAGTATTGTCATAACAAATATAAATAGATTTTTTTTCCTGAGAACTAGAGCTGCCTGAGATAGGGGAATTGCTTGTGTTGGAATTCAGGTCTGTGCCACCATCTTTTTTTTCAGTTCGCTCTTTTGGCACCTCCTGTTCTAGATTGAGGGAGTCATGAGAGTCCAGGGAATCAACACTAGCACTATCAACATTTGACACAATATCACTCTGGGAATTTCCTCTGTTTGCCTGAGTGGTACCTTCAGTTGAGACAGTTATATCAACCAGATCGTTCTGTGAATGTTTTTCTTTTGATTGAGCAGTCTCAACTGCATTAGAAACATTAGAGACATCTAAAGCTTTCTGTTTTAAATCAACTTCCTTTGACTGTTTCTTTACCCCAGTTGGATTGGAAGCATCAATATCTGACCCATCATTCTTTTTTGGACTTACTTTCTTAGATTCAGTTTCAACTTCATTTGGTGAAGTGATGCCCAGTACATCTGAAGAACCATTAGACTTAGACTTTGGACTAGCTATTTGCCACTTACTTATATCCTTTTCAGAGGCTGAAATACCAACTCCATCCAGTACCTTATGCTGCTTTGGACGAGCTTCCTTTGACTTGACTGTATCCTTCACAGAGTCTGAAGTACCAATTGCACCTGGAACCTTATGCTGCTTTGGACAAGCTTCCTTTGAATGGACTGCTGACTCCAAATCGTTTTTGGGAGTTCCAACATTCTTTAGATTTCCCTCCTTTGACTGGGTTGTAGGCTCAGTAACACTAGATCCAGTAGCCTTTGAGTCATCTATAGAATCAGCTGGGTCAGAACCAACCAAAGATTTGTCTTCTACTGTGTCTTCTATCAACTCTTCAACATCACAATTATTGCTTTTGTCCAATTCACTAACAGATTTAATGAATTCTTTTAGAATACCTCCTGAGGTTTTAGATTTATCTGCTTCTTCCGATATAGTAGTATCAGTTTTAGAGTCTTTCTCACCCCCATCAATATCTATTTTGTTCATTTTTCCAGATGATGGCACATCATCTTCATGGTCCAAACCTTTCAAACAAACATCAGAGTCAGCAGGTTTTGTAACTGGGCCACTTCCTTCCTTCATTTCTGCTTTGTCATCATTTGAAATTTCTGCCATAAATGAAGAGCTGATTGGAGTAGGTGCAATTCGCTTGGATTTTAACTTGTTATTTTTGGCTTTTTGTGGAGATCTATCAAGATTGTACATCTTTTCTTTAGTATTTTCAGAAATTGTTAATGATACTGATTCACCAGACTGATTCTCTGCCACCTTATTACAGCTCTTTACTGGAAATTTTGATTGCTTAATTTCAACCAAACCACCATTTTCAACAATTTCTTCTCCACTTTCACCTGACACAATAACAATATCATCATCGTCTGTATCTTTATCACTGTCTGCTATCATGTCCTCCACCTCACTGATCTCTATTGCTGAAGAGTCAGTCATAACATCCTGGTCTTCATCTTGACCTTCAGCATCACTGTGTTCATCTACTAAGTCATTTTGACACTCATAGCTCTTTTGGTCTTTGTTCTGATTGTCTGTGTCATTCTGTTTCTTACTGCAACTATCACTGCTATTCTCCACTGCACCATTCACATGCTTTTCTACATCGTCATCAGCCTGCCCACTTCCATTAACACCCTCTTTGTTGCTATTTTTACCGTCATCTGCATCCTTGTCAGCATTCAGTCCACCCTCTCCCTCAGCCTGAGCATGAAAAGTTGCTAGTTTAGGGTTGACTGATATAGCAGGTCTAGATGGAGTGTAGGCAGCCAGTATTTCTGTAGCATCCACAAACTGATCTACATCTGAAACACACAAACAATGGACATATTTACTAACACAGATAGCAGAGATTGCTTGTTAACATCAACAGGTAAGAAATAGGCAGCTAACTGTGAAGTCCTACAAACTCTTGGTGCTTTAAACAGGCAGCTGACAGGAGTGGAGAAAGGCCCATATGTTTGGAAATAAATCCTAAAATTCTCTACATGGTTGTCTATGTTTTCCAGTCAGAGATTTGAATAAGGGAGTGTGACCATTCTCTATTTTGTTATGAGGAACATGAAGAATTACCAGATGCAAATAAACTTCCTAGTAAGAAACTATCAAAGAGCTAACAAATACAGGATCATCTCCTACATGACTAACTGTGGTTATGTCCAAAAATATATGTAGTACAATCCAAACATTTGGTCCTACCTTCAATGTCTTCCACAACTTCTTCTTCCTCTTCCTCTTCTTCTTCATCTTGTGATGTCTCCCCTCCCTCCTTCTCTTTCTTCTCTTCCCCTTCCTCCCCTCCACCCTGGTTCTCATCACCATCATCATCATAGATCTGTTTATCAGCAAACTTATTGATAACCTATAAATATTAACAATAAACACTGCCATTCCTGATAGGAAAAAAGTTATACAATATTGCCCAAGATACTTTCATAAGACTATGGCACTAGTTTGGAGAGTTCTGAACAGATTCTGAACAGGTTCTGAACAGATTCTGAAGTCTTTCAAATATTTTTGAACATGCATTGTATGTAGCAAGAAGTGTCTCCGCTTATGAACTAGAAGCTTCAACTGACAGTTTGGACAAACTATCTCAACATTGCTTGGATACTATCTGAGACTTAGACAATCATCTAACAACTTTGTAGTCTGCCATCACAGCTTTATCAAGGGATGTTGAATTGTCATCTACCAACCTTGGTAACTACGTGGGCTGCTAGATATTGTACAATACAGAATATTTGTGAAAAATAATATATGTATACTAAACTGAACCTTACCTCTTCTAATTTATCTTTACCCTGTTTTCTATTATTCTCTAATTTACGTTGTAATTCTACATCATATAGAGCTGGGTCTCGCTCAAATCTATAATAAGAAATAGTTATGTCAGTGTTTCATTTATAATTCTACATCATATAGAGCTGGGTCTCGCTCAAATCTATAATAAGAAATAGTTATGTCAGTGTTTCATTTATAATTCTACATCATATAGAGCTGGGTCTCGCTCGAATCTATAAAAAGAAATAGTTATGTCAGTGTTTCATTTGTAATTCTACATCATATAGAGCTGGGTCTCGCTCGAATCTATAAAAAGAAATAGTTATGTCAGTGTTTCATTTGTAATTCTACATCATATAGAGCTGGGTCTCGCTCGAATCTATAAAAAGAAATAGTTATGTCAGTGTTTCATTTATAATTCTACATCATATAGAGCTGGGTCTCGCTCGAATCTATAATAAGAAATAGTTATGTCAGTGTTTCATTTATAATTCTACATCATATAGAGCTGGGTCTCGCTCAAATCTATAATAAGAAATAGTTATGTCAGTGTTTCATTTATAATTCTACATCATATAGAGCTGGGTCTCGCTCAAATCTACAATTAGAAATAGTTATGTCAGTGTTTCATTTATAATTCTACATCATATAGAGCTGGGTCTCGCTCAAATCTATAATAAGAAATAGTTCTGTCAGTGTTTCATTTATAATTCTACATCATATAGAGCTGGGTCTCGCTCAAATCTATAATAAGAAATAGTTATGTCAGTGTTTCATTTATAATTCTACATCATATAGAGCTGGGTCTCGCTCAAATCTATAATAAGAAATAGTTATGTCAGTGTTTCATTTATAATTCTACATCATATAGAGCTGGGTCTCGCTCAAATCTATAAAAAGAAATAGTTATGTCAGTGTTTCATTTATCAGGAATAATTGAACTCATCGTAAAATTCAAGACTGACCAATAAAATGCATTGAGCAATGAAAAATTCTTCAAAATTGATCTTCACAGTTTTGGCTTCTTTGTCTAGTGAAATCACTACAAGCTTATCATGAAAAATAAACTTACGAGAAATTATCCTGTACCCGACATTTAAATGTACACATAAAATCTTTGTGTCGTCGTTCTTGTAACATATTACCAACATCTAGAAACGACTCTCTAGCTATACTATCTATTTGACCAGCACTGCAAAATAGTAATTTTATCTATTGGATGAAAGAAGATATTGGATAAATACAATGGCTTATTCAAATCTAACTAGTAGTAACATTAGGTGTTCAGAAAAACATATCCTACATAACTAGAACTTTTGAAGTTACAGTCAAACTTGTACGAACATTCATATGTATTTAGCGTGACCAGTTTATCAAGGACCAGTAGAATCTACCCCATGCAGTTTCTACCAATGTTACCTCTATTGAATGCTAAGCTGCCAACAAATTAAAATTAATACACAACGGTTTACAGAACATTGTATTTAACATCACCATGGCTTTTATAGTTATACAACATTAGACATATTAAAACATAATTTGAATCATGTTCAGACAACTCCAGGACTACATTAAATATACTAACCTTAGACCCAGACTGGATTTATTATTCACCTTTTTTATAACATTTTTAACATCATGAAAATCAGGGAATTCTTTATGTTTATTGACTAATCTTTCTAGTTTCTTATTCATTTCTTCATATCTTGTCCCTAATGACAAACACAATATATCAAAGCAAACATATATTGTAAAGTGGAAATCCTGGCTACAGAGATATTTTGCACATCTGAATACGATTTAAAATATATACACATAAGCTGTCTACGAAATATGGTCATGGTTGTCATAGTAATAATGAACATAATAAGAATATACTATAATTGCTTTGTATTCTACTCAAGTAAAGTGTTGATTTTTGGAAGTCACATGTGTATAATTATCTTTGTTGGACTGTTATTTGGCTGTATTTATAGAGAGCAACTCATCTTGTTTCTTTTAAAAAATACTGATGATTGACGCTTATATAAAATAAAATAAGTATTAACTCTTACCAGAATAATTAAACACACGCTCAGCTGGTCTTCCTGTTGTTTTATTTCTACCTTTTAACTGACATAATTTATTCCAGACCGTAACAAACTTTCTCTCCAGTTTATCTTCATATATATAGGAAGACATATCATCATCTAAATCTTCTAAAGATAATTCTTGTTCTCGCAATTCTTCAATTTTATTCTTTAATTTCTACAATACAACACACATTATTACATTCTTCAAAGTGATTGTAAAGAGTTTTCTAAATTTTGTATGCATATTGAGAACACTGATAGCATCAATTTCCACCATTCCAATTGTTAATCAGACGTCTGTGGTTCCTGCAATTCCATCTAAACGAAGTGTTTTACTATGTCACCCCGCTAAAAATTTGCTTGTATCACATAAAACACTTACTTAAGAATAATTGCTAGAACCACAGACGTCTGATTGAAAATTGGAATAGCACAAATTGATGCTATCATTGTCCCCGATAGGCAAAAATAAGAAAACTTCTTAGAGGTAGGTAAACTTAAAGAGGTAGAACTTGGCCTTATATGAGCAGCAAACGTAATAAATGAGTGCTCAGTAATAGCCAATAGGGGTATAGAGCCAATGCTCGACCAACTCTCATGAACTTTCCATGGCATCAAAAATTTTCTTGCTGAGCTATATAATTGCACTGAATAGCATCACATAGCAAATAAGCAGGCATTGAGCTAAATTTTAGCTATCTGTAGTACTTTCAGACGTAAAATGCTGTTTCAATTCCATATTCCACTGTGCTTTGAAAATACGGAATTGAAACATGTTGGCAGTAATCATAAACTATCTTTAAAGGGCGCTATTAATTTGTATAGAATATATTAACTTACCTCTAATAAAGCTTCTAATCTTTTAATATGTTTCTCAGTTTTATCAGCTTTCTTCTTGTCACCATCATTATCCTTGACTTCCTCAGACTTACTAGATGATGCCTTGTCTACTTTCACTTTATTACTTTTACTTCCTTCTTCTGACTTACTTGATTTATCCGATTTTAATTCAGGGAGTTCAGTAAATGGAATATTTGTTATTGTTTGTTTTGATTTAATTGAATCACAAATAATAACATCATCATCATCTAAGTTTCCGTTAATTGAAGGTTTTCTTTGTAGATTTAACATAGACATCAGAGATTTCTGGCCTTCAGGGGTGTCGGTTGGAGTGTCATCATCAATCACTACACATGATTCATCCCTGATACCATTAACTTTAATAGCATCGACATCACTGTCATCATAATCAGCTATCATAACAACATCACTGTCATCATCAGTTGACTGAAGTGATGCAAATTCATTATTAGTTTTATCAATGGAATGATTCTCGGATGTAGTTCCAGAAGGGCTAGATGCTGACAATTCTGTAGTAGTCACAGAACTAGTTGCTGTAGTTCCAATAGTTCTAAGATTAATCACAGGCAGGGCTATATCATCTGTTTTACTATCTCCTGTATTGTTTATAATATTATCAAGAATAGAAACTGAGTCATTAGAATCTTCTGATTTTAATTCATGTGTCTTTTTACAGGATTTGAGTTCTTCTGTATCAGAAACTGTCCCATCAGTCGATGCCTCTGAACAATTTCCATCAAGTTTCCTAAGTTTAGCCACCCTGTCCCCTGCTTCATCTTTTGCTTTCCGTTTCTTTTTATAGGCTTTCAGTTCATTAAGAAAGTCTTTAAGATGTACCATGTTTCGTTTAGGTTCTGCTTTCATGCTGCTTTTTGTTGATTTTATGAGTTTCAACATGTCAGTTGACTGTTTGAAACGTGGTGAACATTCATTGTAACGTTTTTTAATCAAGATGACAATCTGTTCTCCATCTTGCCCTAATACATCTTTACAGAACTCTACAAACTGAAATTTCAAAAATAATTATTTGAAATAAGCATTCAAGACATGTAATGCATCAATAAGATGGAACAATTTATGACAACCATTTCATTTCTTTTCTTAAATTGAAACTTGTCTCTAAGTGAGATCTAGTACTACTTGTCAGGCTAAAATAGTTCTGTTGTCTGAAGATCTCTAATTGTCAGACAGAAAGAGTTCAGTTGTTTGAAGATTGCACAACATGAAACTCTGAGCAACATATTTCAGGTTCTGTTTTAATATTTCTATATATCGGTACATTGCAATATTTGCTGTCACAAATTATATTTTTGATTCGAAGTTAATATACATATTGTCAAATAATAGTCAAAAAAGATAAACCTTGATATCTATTCACAAGTTGATCATTAAGATTTCTATGTTAATGAATAATAACAAAAAAATAATTCTACAAGCAGTGACTCTGATAGATGTCCATTTATTTTTACCTTTGAAAATTTCTTCTCCACTTCTTCTTCCACCCCCATTCTGAAGTAAACTACCTTAACCTTACTTCATTAACTTTCATTCTGTAAGAATAAAAACTTGTTTTAATTCATTCTGATTATGAACAATAATTCTGCATTCATGGTTTAGTTTCATCAGTCTTAAAAAAAAATTGTGTACAACCTAAAGTTAATTAATTTGTTCAGTCACTAGCATCTATCAAGTAGAATTCACTTTAAGTTCAAATCATCTCAATGCCTCTCTCTGGCTCCTGTGACAGTCAAAGTGAAGTAGATTGTATAAGTTTATCAACAACTAACTGGCTGCCATTAACAGCCTCAAAATGGTGGTTCTGAATTCTCCAATTTTAGCTAAACTACTAAAAGACAGAATTTGCCAATTTCTTACTGAGTATCCCTGTCTAACCTTATTTTTGTCATGCGTGTGCCACAATTCAATTTGTCAACTCAGAATAAAGTCATTCAAAAATACGTTTCCTGTTTCTCACAATCTACCGTAGCTCTTCCAATGAAAACATCGAAAGGGATCAACAATAGATACACCAAAATGTCTTAAATTTCACTTACAATTTTTGGCATCTACGGATTAATAGCAAAATATAAATAATTTTCATTCATTTTTAGTTTGAGCTCCATTACACAAAAGATGAACTTCCGCTTAAACAGCTGACCTTGACTTCCAAGCAACCTTGACCTTAAATGGGCTAGGCCGCTTAAAACATTAACAAATACAAATGTTGACCAGGTTGAGACTAAACCCGGTTAACCGTGTCACAAATACCCCCCGCCCCACTTAAACCAATATTCCCATCGTATTATAAAGATACAGAATTACATATGAGCCCCCCTTACATAGCCTAGGGCCTCAGCTGTTGTGTAGGGCCTGTAGCTAGCCCAATTTATTATTATTTTGAGGGAAGATTTAGTGGAATTGGGGAAACCACAGATGTTTGACTGAAAATTGGAATGGTGTAAATTGATGCTAGTAGTAGTAGTGACCTCGATACACAAACAAAATTTTAAAAGCTTCTTTACAATCTCTTTGAATATTACACACGTCATCCCATTATAGGCCACTACTAGTTGATCAAACCAAAATTTTACTCTCTTAAACGAAGTGTTGACACGTTTCTTATTTTTTGGGTTGAAATAGCGAAATGAAATACCATAAACTAATAGGGCTTTATTTGGGGTCCATTGCGCAAAAGATAAACATGCTGAAACCAATGACCTCGAGCTCAGGACAACCTTGACCTTTAATATGCTACGCCGCTTACAGTATTGACAAAAATGTTTATTGTACCCTATTTTGGGAAATGGACCAATATTTTTGTTGTTCCAAGATATAAAGAATATTCTATATAGATCATTGCATCATTTTACTGTGGCAAAATAAAATTATAGCGGAATATTTTGATAAATTCCTTCCGTTTACTTCCCTTGTTTCCCAGACAACCATGGCGACAAAATGGCGTCTTTTATTTACATGGAAAAAGAATGAAGGGTGTTTGGTACTGAGGGTGAAATAAACAGGTTGATTTATGGTAATTTTGGATGTTTGTCACAGTTAAGGTATGAAATTCGGGTTAATTCTGTGTCCTTTCTCCTTACTTGGTTATCAGAAATGTAGTAATCCTATTTATTTATTTTTTTTATTTGGCTTTGCTTGCTTAGACATCGCCATTGGCATTGACATTCGTGGCACTGTTGCTGGCTTGCTGTGTCACCCCCTCCCCTTGCCGTTGTGTTATTAATGTGAAACTTCGCATTGGATTGCTCTGTCAGTTGAGTTTCTTTGACAAATCCTTTCAGAATGTACCCAACGCCACTTTTATCAAGAACTTCCTTCCTCCGTGGGGATATTTTCCTTCCAACATCATTGTATGTGTCATGCGTCCTGTTTTGTCTTTGGTGACAATTCCCTGTATAGAATTATATGTAAATAAAATTAAAATTATTATATTAGATCTCTATTATCATTATTATTATCATATTGCCATTTACTCAGATTATTATAAGATTAATTATCATAGTGGATATTTAGCCATAAACCGGTTGAGATGCCTTTTTCAAGATTTCTGTTTACTGATAGGCAGTAAATTAAATTGAAAAGACAAATTCTCCATCAATGTACAGAGTGTTAAACACATACTATGAACTGTCAAGTGACTACCACTATACTAGCTGTCCATAGCTGTCTGCACTCAAAAAATATCATTGTCTAAGCCATCCATTGCGCTAACAGAGGTGTTGAGCTGAAAATTGGATTTGCTAAGGTCTGTATCTGTTTGAGTTAGTGTTTGCATACTCATGGAATCAAGTGTTTATACATATCTACAAGCTGATAATCATGGTCATTTATTTAGTTTTTTCCACAATGCTTTATTTTTAACATTCAGGTAGAAAATGGAAACATTACCCAGATTGAATACAGCATTAGAGTGTACAGTTGATACTGATCATAATGAAGAAATAGAAGTCCATTATAAAACAGGAGCCAGTTTTGTCGGTCAAGTTATAGATCATAAGAAGACTGGATGTGGCAAGTTTGTTTGGCCAAATGGTGCTACTTATGAAGGCGATTATAATGATAACCAAAGACATGGAAACGGTTAGTCTGCTATTAAAGTGTATTTTAACAGTGTAGATATCTTGAATATTTGAGTTTCATATTAGTTCATATTTTCAATTTGTGCAAAAAAAAAGTGGCTACAGGGATCCAACGCAGAGTGTTAAAGTTATTTTATTATTTATTCACTTTGTGTGGGTCGGGGAAGAATAAGAGTAAGATTTCAACAACTGTATTTTCATTTAGTTTGGGAATACATTCAAGATTCAGTCTTTTTTTTTAGAATTTTCGTGTAGTTTCTATTATCAAGTCTCACATTAAAGTTAACAGTTCAATAAGTTCAGATTATCCAGTCACAATTAAGTGTTATATTAAGCTATGGAAATTTCATATAGTCTAATCTTGGTGTTGAAGGATCACAAACACTGTGGTATAAATTTTGTTTCAAAGGCCAGGAAGATTATTTAGAAAGTAAATTGAAAGTAGTAGCAATCTATAATCATATTCACTAAATGATTTAAAATCATACCAGCTTATACACCCTAATTATATGAAAATCTTATGTGTATTATGTAGGAAAACAATATTGGCCTGATGGGAGTTATTACCATGGTGATTTCAACCTGGATGTCCGGCATGGTAATGGTAAAATAGTCTGGGCTAATGGTGAGGTGGGTATTATTTCTTTTTGGTCTAGAAATCTTTTATTTAAGGTATTTCCAATGCTTTTAACATTGATCTTCTTCAAGTTGAAAACTAAAAAGCAAATTCTGAATATTCTCATCTTCAAGATATCACGACCTCTTAAACATTGTTAGCATTAATGATACAGCTAATTATAGTTTTTGATTACACATGCTCTCATATTGTTTGTACAATCCATTCGAATCAAGAAGTAAAAAAAAAAAACTCTAAAAGGTTCTTAATATCTTGACATTGAGAAGATGGTTTATTCTTATTTATATTCAAATATTTGGAATGTTTTGTTTCTCTGCTTGAAACAAATTTTGATTGATATTTGCAGACATATGAAGGATGTTTTTATAAAGATCGTCGTCATGGTAATGGGTTATACACATGGGCTGATGGTTCATATTTCACAGGAACATTTCATATTGATAGAAAAGAAGGATATGGCAAATTTACTTTTGCTAATGGAAATATATTTGAGGTAAGAATTGACTTAAGACTTGAAAAGTTGAATGACATGTAACTTGCAAATTGACAGTGTTGTGTTACCAACTATCCAACATGAGAACTGCATGTTTTGTAATTTGTTTCTAGGCTACAATAAGAAATCAGCATAGGTCTGTCTATTCTGAGATGGATTATTGGAATATTCTTTTCTGAGCCACTCCGATAGGTCTTTGAATTATTTTTTAAAGTTTTTAATTTAATAGTACATCTAAATTCTAAATACATGTAGTAAATATACTATCTGGATATAATTTTACTTAAAATGTTAAATTTATAAATTTGTGGCAGTATTTGTTATAAAAAATGAAATATGATATGTAATTTCAAATTTCATCATGAACTGTTAATTGGTTAAGATAATCAGCTAAGGATGCCTGAATAGTAATATCAGTGACCATTTGTGGACCTATTCATAAATTGTTAATTTGACTTATATTTTTATAATTTCAGGGTTTATATAAAGAGGATGAAAGAGAAGGCCCTGGGGTCATGACCTATAAAGATGGCCGACAGGATGTGGGACTATGGCAACAAGAAAAGTTAATCAAAATATGTTCTGCTGTTGACGGAGCATTTACGCTTAAAGATCACCCAGAATTTGACTTGAATACAGACCATGTGACTTATCTGGAGATAGAAGAACCCAAAAATACAACCCAGAATTCAGGATTACTTGAAGACTTAGAAAATATAACACCAGACAAAATCTCCCATTTTTATAACGAGACTCTGGATCCAAGAAGTTATGCCATCAATAAAGAAGAATTCGATGAAGTATTTTTCAAAGATTTTGAACCAATTGTTCAAGACGAGAAGATTAGGGTGAAGAACAGCACGCCATCTTTGATTGAGATTCAGAAACATGTAATGAAACATTCTGGCGGTGAGAAATGTGTTGGGTTTGATGTTGCTAAGATAATGAATGGTGATAGAAGTGAGTTTAAGGAACCAGGACCACTAGAAGAGGCCAGTGACCAGTTTTTATTGGCTTGTATATCAGGACGTTTAACTGAGATAGAAGATCTACTACAGGCTGGTAAAGTACATGTTGATGCAGCTGATGTTAATGGTCATACAGCCTTAATTGGAGCTACTGTAAGTTCTTTTAGATCATTTGATCCCTTTCATTGGTGGTTATTTTCTTATCACCTTGGACAGATGTTTCTTTATCTGCTTGAACATATCACAAATGGGTTGGTGTCAAAATAATTTGTTTCCCTTTTGACTTAGTAAGATTTTTATGGCTGTGTTTTGAGATCAAAGCTTTCTTCACTTCAGAACAAGCAGCCACGTTCACAGGTAAATTTAGTCGCTGTGCAAGTTGTAGCTCTTTTTTCTGAAAATTTATATCCACATGTGAGTTTTCCCAAGCATTGACTGTGTAGTGATATAAGACCACTCTCTATACTCTTTGAAATGTATTTATTTTAGGTTGGATGGCATATTGATATTATCAACCTATTGTTAAACCATGGAGCTGATATTAACAAACTTAACGATGAAGGTTGCTCCGCCCTGTCTGCTGGTGTTATATTTTATTATCCAATCGAAAGCTTTCTATATAATATTGCAGAAAGATATCTAGTGAAACCACCTTTTGATCTGGAACAAGATAAGGACTCAAAAGGTTCTCTTTCAAAACGCAAAAAAACAGAGAGTTATGAAAGACGCATGAGTCACATGACTAACTTTAGTGTATTGAGTTCAACTGGGTCTGAACGGAGACCAGTCTCGCAGCGAAGTGAACCAGAGGATGTGATTGAAGGGAAAGATAGACTAATTTTACCTCCTATTTCTAAAGGAGTGAGTCGGGACAGTGGAGTCCATCATAATGATAGTCTAGATAGTTGTTATATCTCTGATAAAGGTCTACCACGCAGCATGGAATCAGACAGCCGCGAAGAAGAAATTCAGAATATTATGATTGACAAAACTGACAAGGCGCAAACCAAGGACGAGGACAGAGATTCCTTATTTGGAAGTGATGAAGAAGGGAATTTTTTGGGAGATGGAGATGGTTGTGAGAAGATTGATGAATTTGAGTCAAATATCAGTGTCCATAATTACCATATATCAGTGACCAGAAACCTGCTGGAGAAATGTGCCACTACTCTGAGTACCAATGAGAAGATAGTGAGTAGAGAGAGAAGCAAGGAGAGTTGTAGTGAAGGCAAGGCTAGATTATTAGCTATACAAATATCATTGTAAGTATTGGGGTTCAAGATTACTATTTACATCTAATTTAATAATGTTTTGTACAACTACCACTGGCTACATTTTATTTGTAAAAATGGCTTTACTATAGTTAGGTTTGATCTCGAAAGTATTGAACCCTTTTATGAAGTAAATAAACTATAATGTACAACTAAGCAGACTAAGAATTAGTTCACCTGACAAAATTTTCATATTTTTGTAGGAGAGGAACAATGAAACAGACTATAGATCTATTGTTAAGAAGAGGAGCTAATCCTAATGCCTCTGGTGTACCAATGCCTGTGATATTTTTCGCTATCAAGGCTGCTGATACAAGTATGGTTAAAACATTGTTGTCAAAGGGAGCCTCTACAGATAGTAGACTACCAACAGATGTAAGTTACTTAATATATCTTTGAACTTTGTCTCTACCATTTTATTTTGGCCATCGGTAAAGCTTAATAGAAAGTAGAGGGGTGTCAAATAGATAACTGACACTAGTATATGCCTATCAAGCCTTGTCATATTATGTCTTACTGTAAGCCCTTTTTGTGCTAAAAACAAAGTCTGACCATCCATTTAGTCTTTAAGTACCTAATTGCTTGAGCTAACTGTCTGTATTCCAACTGTATTGGATGTGATGTTGTACATATATTTTAGAAAGGAGGTTTAGCTCCCTTACATATAGCATGTGCTATACCAGGGGAAGAAGGTGTTGAGATAACAGAAATGCTGTTAGAGGCATTAGCTGATCCTGATGTACGGGCCGAGCAAGATGATTCTTTTCTGAAAAAAGATTTTGAAGAAGAATGGTCAAAGGATGAGATATCTGAGTCAAGTAAAAGTATATTAGGAGGGAGAACTCCTCTACAGATAGCATGTGCTCGAGATGACAATTATAAGGTAGGTTATAACTCCTTCAACACAACTATAAATGACAAATTTGCACAAATAACAAGATATTACTGATAAAACATGTTTCTAGGATCACATCTTGTATTTTCATTAATTAATCATAGTTATATTTTACAACCTTATTTTCTAATGATCAATATTTTATAGAAATTAAGACCAAGTATCAGTATGTTACTTGCTCGACTTGTGGAAAGTCTTTTATCCATTTGTATTTCATTAACTAAATTTTATATGAATTAACGTTGAAATTAGATGGGTATTAACTAGGTTGACAAGTAGTATATTCTTACTAGTTAACATATTTAAACAAACCAATTCATGATGAAATAAATAAAGCTTGAACTTCTTACGGCATTGATCGTTTTAACATTTTATCTTATGAAATAGAAGCTAGTGCAAGTCATGAGTTTTGTTAAAAAAAAAAAGGGGTGGAGCTTCAGTCACGCTTGAAAAAGATTCCTGTATCCGAATTGAAAAGTTGCTTAAATTAAAGAGGAGTAGTATATCCATAATAGTGTTTTATTTATATAACATCAAAATTTGCTAGTTGTAGCATATCTAAGCTCCACCTACTTTCCTCTAATTGGCTTCTATGTTAAGTTATCCAAGTATGGTAAAACAACAATTTGCTCGAACACACATTTTAAACAATTTACTTCTTAAAAATATCAAAGAAAAAAATGCAATTTATGTTACAATTTATTATAATACACAAGATGTGTTTGGTTTGATCCATTTTTTTTTACACATCCTTAAATTTACATTTCTATTTCTTTATTGTGGAAAATTATCAAACAGGTTGACCTTTGTGTCATTATTCAGTATTTTATTTTTTCCAGCATGCATGTAAAGTGGTAAAGTTACTATTAGACCATAAAGCTAATCCTAATTTACTGTGTAATGGTTTTTCACCTTTAGCTCTGGCTATAGCAAGTGGTAATGATATGGTAAGTCTATATATATATCGTCGGTGGGCTTCCAAAATCGCGAATATGCAGAATTCAAAATTTTTCAGGACAGACAAAAAACTGCATAACTTTGTTAATAATGGAAGAATAATGTTAGTTTTTGGTATATATAGTTCTTATGCGTCTTTACATACTATGCTGGTACATTTTTGTGTGGGTCTACATTCGTGACGTCAGAAATGGATATACGCGATTTTGACATTACAATTTGAGAAAAATGATGTTATACATCATTTTGATTTTAACAGATAGACATGTTTTATGAATATTTTTATGATATAATGAAAAATATATCATTCAAACGAGTTAACAAATTTTATTAAAAAAAAAAATCATTTCAATAAAAACAAAGAATGACGATATCTACTTGATATTCTGTATGAAAAGAGTGTACTGCAAAATAAATCTCAAAGAATGAAATTAAAACGGCTTAGTTACTATTACAATAAAATATAACAATACAAATAAACTCATTCTCAATGTGGATTAGATGGGCATGAGTTAATCGTGAATAAGGCCATCATAAAACGGGTGGTAATCCTTAGGAATAACTGCTTTTAGTTCCTGCAAATGTTTGTATTTCTTTGCTTTGATTTTTGGTTTTACATCATAAAGTTTTGGAATGGTGAACTGTGTTTCGGATGCCTCTGAGTTTCGACGTCTACAAGGTAACTCTTCAAATTCTGTATCAGAATACCGTAACTTATGGGAGATAATTCCGTTTTTGTATTGGAGAAGTCTTATATTAGTAACTACAGGGTCTCCACTACCGCGACCAGGACGGATTGAGGTATAGTACTTCAATTCCGAATATTTCCGAAAAAAATCACTGGAGAGATACTTTACTTTGTACGGAGGAGAAACACGGGCAGTACCTATTAGATCTACATAATTTTGTGGAACGTAAATAGGCTTGTTGCGTAAACGCCTCTCGATAGTGCTATGGACACTGTCACACTCCATTTGGGTGTGACCTTTCTCTAGAAATTTTTGGACAATTGTAATATTCTTATCTTCAGATAGTTTTAGAAGGGTATTAGATAAGATGACGTTTCGATTTTGGTATGTACAACCATCACTGAAAATTATAAGTTCGTCTATATGTCCCGACAAATTATCGATGTAATCCGCTAAACACGAGGCAAAGGAGTTCGCGGAAAGTTCTCCCTCCCCTTCGTGCCAAAAGTAGCAAACAACCTGCCTTGTGTTCAAGTCATATATTGTGTAATTGTGACAGCCTAACTTAGTTTTATAATACATGGAGCTAGCTTGAATACGTGGACTGAGGAGCAATGACTGGAGATCAAGGGTTATGACTTTAATACGATTGTCATTTTCAGCTCGTGCTTTGTCATTGGACTTTTCATTCCTCGCCTCATTTTTCAGATTAATATGGTTGTTATAATCGATCTCTGAGATATTTCCGGCTTCGAATCCACAGCAAATATCACACTGGTCCTTCTTAGGACGAGAAAGCGACAAATTCAAATCATCAAAACATGACTTAAAGGCCTTCTTACAAACAATGCCCACTCCTTCAGTTGTACAATACTGTTTGTAAACTCGATATAAGTCTGCGAATGTGGTGAAAATGGGTTCAAGATATTTCTTATTCGATGTTGCGCGACAGTAATGAGAAGGTAGGTTTGGTAGTTTCCCCAGAAATTCTTTGGCTGCAATGACTTTGTTATCAGTGCGTTGCGTATTGCGTCGTTTATCTGGTGTTTTGTTCGGTACACCCACACTAACATCTTTCATCCACTCGTAAACCATCTTGTCTTTAAGTCCAAGAGTATTTAACATCATATTGCGACAGACGGGAAGGCGTTGTTCATTCTTTTTCAAGAAATAGTTAAAGGAATACTTCTTTCGACTTTCGCCCGTTTTCTCCCTCCTTTCTTTTACTTCAACCTTGTCTATCAATCCAGCAACAAAAACTCTCTTTTGATCCCAATTTAAGTTCGTCCAAAAACGATCAAATATAGAAGATCGTTCATCCTCACTGAATGCAGTGCATTTTTTCCCTATTGCACACAATCGAGTACAATTCCTTTCTCCCAATGTTCTCTTTTGCTTCTCAGATGAATACACATAATGACCCTCGTCATCTTTCTTTATCCCGCTATAATCCTTTCCTTCCATTCGTAATTGCTTTTGTATGTTCTTTTTCCATTTTTCTGGCATGGCTTTTCCTGGCTTTGATCTTTTATGTGGGGGGTTGTGTGTGGGTGTATTTGGGGATGAAGGTACAGAGGTTGTTGAAATTGGTCTAATTGGAGAGTGGGCAAGATCTTCATCAGAGGAGGAACATTCGAAAAGTTTTCTTTTCTTCCTTGGTTTCCAATCAGGATCTCTATCAGAATCGTCAGCATCAGATTCAGTCTCCGGTAGAGTGCTATCACTAAGTGATGATTTGTTCATCGTGTACCGCGGCCTTTTGTTTGTTTGAGTTTCAGGTTTGTCAGAAAATACCCCATCACAGGTCTGATTTGTGGATTGATCTTGTGCTGTGGAACCAATGGGCGAGTGCGAATCTATCTCGACTTCTTGAGCATCATGTAAATGCAAACTTGTGAGACTATCATCATCGTTTTTGAGAGGTAAGTAAGAACAAGATGGATTACATTGGTTTAGTAATTCTGATGGTGATTTTAGGTGAATTGAGTTTGAAGTCTGAACATCGACATTTTCATGATAGTTTTCGGGGAGGTTATAATACATGCCAATGGGTTCGGCAATATATGTCTGAACTTGATTCGATTCTGAGCAAGATACACTGGGTATACATGAATATATTGTGGCGTCTGGTTGAGATAGAAATGTTACATCGTCATCTGGTAGGGTTAAAGATTGTGGTACATGTTTGATTGTGGCTTCTGGTTCAGATAGAAATATATCATTGTTTTCAGGAGGGGTTATAGCTTGTGGCACAGGTTTTTTTGTAAGAATAGCAGAAGGTAAAGGTTGATTATCTGTTTTTTTACAATTTTTATCATTAGCATCTCCGCAGTTGTTTTCATTTATTGAATTCTTGGTGGACTTTATTGCCAGACTAACCAAATATTTTCCTCTCGAATAACTGGCCATTTTGATGATTGTGAGGATATTATAATATCAACTGAAATAATAAAAAACAAAGTATCATTCAGTATTCACTTACAGGCCTATTTTGATAATAATAATATGATATAAATACGACCTTAAGACAAATATATACCGTTATTCTAAAAACGCGAAAATACGAATAATAACCAAATAATTTTTTCAAGGCTTAGTTACAAAATCGCGTATGTCAAAATTTACTTTATTTTAACGAACTTTTGTATGGACATAATATCAAAAATTCATTACAATGATGCAATATGCATTGCAGGACACAGCATTACAGATTAGGAGAGAATTTACTAAAAAATATTAAGTCGTCAACGTAAAAAGTTCTGTTGTACAAAGGACGTCCTATCATAAAGCAACTAATATGTATGCAAAAAGTTATTTAAACCATCCTTGGTGTGGTTTAGCTATGTAATAGTGTTCGTAAGACATTTAGGTAAATTGCGAAAGAATTATTACATTACCTCTGGCACTCTGGCATAGTTTGTTTGCTGCACATTTTGTCCTGACAAAAAAAGTTTGAGGTACGTGATTTTGGAAGACCCAATTTTACACCAATCAATATACGCCAATTTGTCACATGTTTGAAAAGACAACTTTTTATTGGCTTAGAACCACCAAATCCATATAAAAATGTGCGGAATATACTGCTGATTCCAAATAATCGAAAAAGTGATTTTAGTGAAAATGGCCATATACGCGGTTTTGTAAGCCCACCGACGATATGTACTAATTTTCTTCATAACTCAAAACAAATTGAAGTAAAACTGGCTTATTTCTTGAAAAATGACCCAAAAGATAAAGACATTCAGGGTCTTTAATAGATACTCTGGATAAACACAACCTCATAGTCAAAAGTGTATATTTTCTCTTTCCACAGTAAGGCTTTAAAATTAAATGTGTTAAAAAATTATGTTTTTGTCATGTGACAGGTGTTGAAAGGTTTAGGAACAGTGGCATATTTTTGAATTCTCTGTTGGTTCTATATTGTAGGCTATAGATGAATTACTGACCTACGGAGCTGACCCTAGTTTACCATTAACTCATGGTGTAGGTAGCGCCCTCTGTGTTGCCACATCTACAGAATACGAAGATCGTCGACCAATACAATCTAGAATACAGCTGGTAAGTATTAGATTTATAAATAGTTACACCGTCCTTCTATATTTTCCTTGTCAAAAACTTATTTTGAATTTCATGGCAAAAAATATATAAAGACAAGAACTTGTTGATCAGATTTATTGTAATTGGAATGAACATGGGACTCAAGCAGAGTCAATATGGTGAAATTTGCTGTTGGTGCTGCATGGTTTGCTGGCAGACAACAAGTTATTGTCTAGACAACAAGTTATTGTCCGCTTCCGACTCAAGATGATATCACAGACTACGAAAAGCTGTTTTGTAGCCAAATTTTCCTTTCATCGCATCCTGCAGGATGCTGCAAGTCATGAATGTCCTAATGAAGGTTGCAGGATGTAGACACTCTTTCTGTCATTGTTTTTTTGCCATTAACAGACACCATAAGAATACTAAACGTTCCAATACATACCATTGTAGATTGATAAGTTAGTAAAATGTGGAGGGAATATTTTATCACCGATATTAATAGGACCAAAACGATTGACTGGTACAGCTGTAGACTATTCTTATTATATGTTTAACCAGGTAAGTAAGTCTTTACTTTATATAATATACAGGTTGGATAGAATCAAGATAGTATACCTAGAATGAAACCCCTTAACATTTGTTTGAACTTTTCCAAACATGCATTTTTCAATCACTGTGATACTTTGTTATAGAAGAGCTCATTTGCAAAATAAGGGGTGTTTTTGTCTTTTTCCAGTCTTGTATATGGTATATTTAGAGCTTATGTTCAATAAGGACATAAATTCTAGAAAAGGGTGATGCAAAAATGAAGTTGGTTAGTGGTTGAATATAAATGATTAATATCTGAAAGTTAGGATATTGGTTAGAATGTCATTTCAAGCAGTAGTGGGTCTAGCAGGCACATATAAGAAAGCTGATGCACTTAAAGCTTAATTCAGCAGGTCACAGGCTTTATTTATAGTTGCAACGCTTCTATTCTAGTCGTAAAGATCTTGATCTGATCTTGAGTCTTTTAAGTTATAATGTATAAAAATGGCAACTTTAGACAATAACCATAGTAACAGTCTTATTTATAAACTTAAATCCATTGGGAATTTATACAAATGATCATTTTTTGTTTGAAGGTTATCAAATCATGTGGTAGGTATTTCTAACTGAAAGGTTTATACTCTCTAGGCCTACCTATACCTTTAATCTACATGTATAACTTCACACTTGATAATATATGTCATCATCTTTATTATACAATTCACTGTCCTGTCTTGATTGCCTCATAGACAATCTATGATTTCAATAGCCCTATCTGTCAAAAAGTCTAACTTTAAGAATTTTTAGGACGAAAAACAGAAAATTTGCGTACACCCTCTAAATTCCCGATCATCTTCAGTTGTTTCTCATTGTCAAGTTTGCATGAGTTGCCATGGAAAATAATTTGTGTAAAAAAATATAGTTTTTTTTGGCATGTATTTTAGAAAATATGCACTCAATTTTCACTATTTATCATATATTCATGGAATGTTTCATTATTGTTGCATGTTTCACTCCACAGGATAGAAGAATTGCACACATGCCCTATCACGCCCTGACGCATGCTGAACGCGAGACATACAACGCACGACGTAAATTATTAGGTCACATTGGAGACATAATGCGTGTTAAAGCCACAGAGAGAGAAAAACAAAGAATGGAAGATGAGTTGAGAGAAGGTTTGAAAAGTAAGTTTGGTAATCAGGAAAACAATGTTTTTGGGCAGAAATTGCAGAAATGGTGTAATGCTGATTTTGATGCTTATTTCCTCAAACAATTTTATGCATGATAATAGTTTACACATTTTTAAGATAAATGGATTTAAAATGTTTTGATAACACTTTTTGCAATGTTAAGTAGCAATGATTTGCAAATTTGATAGATTATCAACAAATTCACAGACAAAATCAAAGCGAAAAGTGTATTGAAAGTTCCATCAATTTGTATTCATACATGTTCTAGGTGCTGGTCCAAGTCCAGGTTTTGTATACACTGGAGCAGGTGCCCCACTTCCTCCAGGGTCACGGGGCAAAGGTAAAGGAGGTCAAGTGTCATTTGACCCACCAGTGGCTACAGAGACAACCACTGTAGATGGTGCTCAACCAGTTGTTAGGTGAGTTTTGTCTTTGATTGAGAACTCAAAATTATAATTTATCTTTTTGTACAAATGAATTTTAATTGCCAACAGCTCATTTCATCTAATGTTGCAGTGTAGCAGAAACACAGTCCTCATCAGCACAGCTAGTTTTATACAAGGAAATTTAACTCTCTAGAATTAGACTGTTGATTGAATATGTCTTTTTTAACAGCTGATCCTTTGTCAAACCTCTTAGCAATGATCTTTCTCGCATTATCTGCACAGCTAGAATAGTGAGAAAGATGACTTATCCAAGGACACTAGAGGAGTAACCATATTTATGACTATTATTTTATAGGAAAAAGCGTAAACTTCCAATAAGGTTTGATAGTCTATAGAATAGCTATAACTACTATTAGGTGTAGCAATATAAAAATTGTTCTGTGGTAAATCCACAATAGTGCTAGATTTTAAGCCCGTAATTGCATAAGAATGGAAACTGGCTAGATAAAGACCATACAAAGCTATAATCTATTAGTCCATTAAGATAGATAGAAATAGTTAGGCTAGAACTATACCTTAAACAAATTCTGTTATATCTTCATTCTAAAGTTTATATCATATATAGTTAGTTTAACTGTGATCCCAAGTTCTGATACTATATAATTGTGAATATAATGCTCATCTCTTCTTACTCTCAAATGAATATACAAAATTGATATCTTTGTAAATATATGAAATTCATTACTAATAAAGAACTGATTCATTTTCTCTCAGAACAGGATTGTTGATTTAATTTTTCACCGATCAATTATTCTTAATTTCAAAACCACATTTTCTACAATAATAAATTTTGTGAATGAAAGTGAAAAAAAATATATAAGCTTACTTTATACTTAACCAGGACAATTGAGATGATGAGTTAATTATTTTGGAAATGTTGACCTTGACATAGCGGTGTTTTATTATTGTACAGAAAGTGCCAACAAACAGAAAACGGTCCAGAGCTTAATCTGAACAGACTTGTTCCTTCTGCACAGAAAAAAGATTTTCAGGGTAGTTTCAAATTCAAATGTGAATTCAGCTTAGAACTGTTTGAATTTCAAAACATTATTTCAATAAATTGTTATTTTTATCCAACAGAAAGCCGTTATTAAAATATTGTTATGAATGTGGTAGATCTGTTGGTGTAAGATTGTCACCATGTACTAGGTGTAAAGAAGTCTACTACTGTAGTAAGGCCTGTAAAATCAAGGCCTGGAATTCAAGACATAAAGATGAATGTATTAGAATTGGAAGTAAGTCGGCCTGATAGGAAACTTGTGAAAAGTTTGTGGGAGTAAGGCATGGACTCAAACTTTGTTTTGTGTCACATGTTAATTCTTTCTGGCTTTTCCACTTTCTAAATCCAAGATTCCTGTTTTTTCATTGTCATTTTTGGGACACTGACTTCTCAGAGCTTCTATTTTGGAACTTTTTGCCAGGCATGCCTGGTAGGACAACTCAAATGTTTGGCACATCTTGTGTCATTCAAAGTCAAAGATCATAATACATACTCTTGTTTATAACTATGTATTGAAATGCTTATATTTTAGGTAAATCACGAAGTCCTAGTCCCCGAGGTAAAGGTCGTACAGATAGTCCGAGAGCTGGAGATAAAACAGATAAAAATGGTAAACTCATCAAGAAAACTCCAATTACTGTTCATGAACTGACAAAAGATAAAAGAGCTTTAAGAATATTGGTAGGTATTTTATCATATTATAGGTGAACTCAGTTGAGGTACCACAAAAAATGGTTCATTTCTAACAAATTAAAAAATATGATTTCTATACGTTTTCGCCCTAAATATGTTTGAATGCCTTGATTCTATTTTTAAAAAATATGGGGGTAGACACTCCATGGGGGGTTAGTGCCTATAGGATCTCAACCTCAACATTTGTCCTCCCATTAAGTCAGTCTGCCCACTGTTTCTACCCCCAATCTCGTGAGGCTGCCACTGAGTGGACTATTAGTTGAATCAGACCTATATTGATCACTATTTTAACAGTGGTATTTCTATATCGCTCTACAATTGATGTATTGAGCACTATTTTAACAGTGGTATTTCTATATCGCACTACAATTGATGTATTGAGCACTATTTTAACAGTGGTATTTCTATATCGCACTACAATTGATGTATTGAGCACTATTTTAACAGTGGTATTTCTATATCGCACTACAATTGATGTATTGAGCACTATTTTAACAGTGGTATTTCTATATCGCACTACAATTGATGTATTGAACACTATTTTAACAGTGGTATTTCTATATCGCACTACATTTGATGTATTGAGCACTATTTTAACAGTGGTATTTCTATATCGCTCTACAATTGATGTATTGAGCACTATTTTAACAGTGGTATTTCTATATCGCTTTACAATTGATGTATTGAGCACTATTTTAACAGTGGTGTTTCTATATCGCTCTACAATTGATATATTGATCACTATTTTAACAGTGCTATTTCTATATCACTCTACAATTGATGTATTGAGCACTATTTTAACAGTGGTATTTCTATATCACTCTACAATTGATATATTGATCACTATTTTAACAGTGGTATTTCTATATCTCTCTACAATTGATGTATTGAGCACTATTTTAACAGTGGTATTTCTATATCACTCTACAATTGATGTATTAAGGACTATTTTAACAGTGGTATGTCTATATCGCTCTACAATTGATGTATTGAGCACTATTTTAACAGTGGTATTTCTATATCACTCTACAATTGATGTATTGAACTCCATTTTAACAGTGAAAATATTTTGTTAGTGTAAGAATATTGTATTTGAAAACAGTTTTTAGTGATTATACTTGATTTTTTGATATATAAGTAATGTAATATGCTGTACTACAAGTATGTATAGGTTTGTTGATATTCATCATGAATATATTTAAATATTTAGAATATTCCCTATCCTCCTGCTGAATGTACTCAGATAGGCCATCAGGATAACTTAAAGATAGGCTATCCAGTCAACTTAGAGATAAGCCAGAGAAATAACTTAAAGGTAGGATTTCAGGAAATAATGCAGATTGTGTCCATACTTTGTATTAAATCATCTGTTCTAACTAATTCTTGAAGTAACATAATAGCTTAGCAAGTCTTATAACCTTGAATAAACCATTCCTCTAAATAATATTTCTAAGATTACTTGTTAACAATCCCTTATTCCATTATATATTGGCTGCCAGGAACCATAAACATAATCTGGCAGTATTACCATTTCATGATATATTTTGAAGTACTTGGTATCATAGTTGGAAGGAAAGGTAGGAATTGACCATCTTCAGATCTGAATGGTCATAAGCCGTTCTGCTATCCAACCTTATAGATTATTATGATTATCATAATATGATATACCAACCAATGTAATCCCTCGATCTGACATACATCATTGTTTATTTGGCTTATCAAAAGAGTGTGACATTTGAAAATTAGTCTTTTTTTTTTTAATTAACAGACTTCTATTGATATTAATGGAAAAATAAAAAAAAATTCAAAATATTAACAAAAGACCCATACATTGTCAAAAACTGAGAGAAAGGATGTTAGTTTGAAATCTTTCAGTCAAAATGTACCAGCTGGAAAAAGAAGTTCTCACTTGTATTCAATACTATCTACAGTTTTTTTTTTTTTTTATTTAATTTTTAGTAGCATGTTTTTACACATCTCAAATGTTAATATAGCTAGCTGACAGATGTCACAAAACATACTTTATTATAGACTGAAACATCTGTCTCTAAACCAGCCTCTGATAGATATTTGTAAAAATGTCCACTGGTGTAGAGACAGAAATAATAAGCCCTGTTAAATGACAAAATATCCATCAGAGACTGGAATAGAGGCAGATGTTTCAGACTAACTTTATTATAATCATTCAATACAAGATTATTTTTCATCTAACATCAAGTAGCAAACTCCAACCTAATATTATTTCAGACTCCTCGACCCATTCTCTCTAGTAAGTTTTAATGAATACATATTATAACAAGAGTATAGAGTGTTAATAAATTCTTTCATTGGTTTGGATTTTATATTCTTCTCTACCATGACCTAAACATATTAAACTCATTTAACAATTCAACTTACTTCTTTTTAACATTGTGACTTTTTTCATATTATATTTTATGAGAGTGTATTTAATTTCATATGAAGATAAAGGTAATTTGTGACCATAAGATATAACCTGGCCATTTTTATATCATGTCAAACTTGCTAGCAGATTGTGGCAGTTTTTTGTGGTCAGATCGCTTAATTTTTTAGTATGTGTATACATGTAGTCTCAATGCACTGTGTTAAAGCATTTTTTGCATGAGTTAAATATAATTATAAAGAATAGATGAAATTACAGTGTTTGATTGCCTTTCAAAAAGCCTGAAATGGAAAAGAATTGAATGAATATATTATATTGAATTAAAAGGCCACATGCTTTGTGTTGTCATTTTAGTGGTAGATCAAAGAAATCACTTTGATCAAATCACTTTGACTTTGGTGAGAAGCAGAACAAATGTTTTATTTACAAAACTGATAATAAAGCATGATAAATGTATGTTTGTCATCTAAATATTTGCTTTTCCATCTGAATTCAATTAAAAAAACACAACATGACATTCAAAATCTGTAAAATAAAACAAAACCATCATAGAATTTTCAATCTGAACAGTAGTGATACAGTACTGCTTTTTCCAGAAAGATTATTCAAAATCTGTAAAAAATTTAGATGAACAAATATTTAGATGACTAGATACCTTTAAGTGTGAACTGTTGTATTATATGTATATTATATTATAATAGGGTATTTAGTGAATAATAACCATTTTAACAGAGGTTACAATCAAATATGAATTTATATTTCAGGTACCAGTGAAAGGATTAAGTAAGAGTGCTGGAAGAGCAAGAACTCTGAACAGTAAATCAACCATGCTGTCTATACATCGCCCTGTTTCAGACCCCTTATTACATCCCTGGATACAGGATCTACCACCCAACGCTGTCATAGATAATTACAGTTATGTCTGAATATTCTTTTTCTTCAATTAAAAAATCATTTTAGGACATATCATAAAAAATTTGGTATTGTGTCTACGGTTCTTGGGTAGATATGAATAACAAGTTGTATTTATCTAAGGACAAATCTCTAAAATTAGCCTAACGTCTACAATTACTAGTTAGAAACTAAAAAGGAAGTGTTTTGATGTTTTGTGTTATTATTAACAAGACATTTGTTGCCACTTTATACTTTCTGAATATATTAGATATTTGTTTTGATGCAACTGAATCTGATAACTCCATCATTGTTGAATAAAACCACAAAATACTAAAAGAAAAAATATTAACAATAAGCAATATGGAATAAATATAGCAAAGCAAAAAAACATTATAGAATAGAATTGAATAGAATATAATGTGCCCTTTATTGATTTTTCAAACAGTGTTTTGTCAAGCTGCACTGCACCTATTAAGATGGCACATGCTGATAGTGACAGTACAACTCCTATAACTGCTTCAGTAAATTAAACGGTAACAATGCTGTAATATTTAACAGAACACAGGACTGAATCGATAGATCTGATATTTATTGCATACCTTGAAAGGTATTGTAAATAGTTTCTTTCATCTTTTTATTATGGAAAATGATATTTATAAACCTCAGTTTGCAATATTTTCAACTAATCTTATGGATAGTCAGATCTGAGAAGCATCTTATTAATAGCAAACTTAAACTGTTGCTATTTCAGAATGAGCTACACTTAAAGTTAAAATAAGAAAAATGCTAAAAATTTGATAAACAAGGGCTGGCTGAAAGTTTGAAATCATAGCAAGACTCCTACCACTGTCAAGAGCTTTGGCATTCATCTGAAAAAGATATGTAGGTTTAAAAGATTGTCTGGTACAAAGACAATAATAAAACTGCAGTTGTTGCTGGCAAAAGTTTGTCAGATTGAGTTATCCCATTTAGGCTTAAAACATTTCAGCCATCCCTGGTAAGCTTATATTTTTTAAATGGTATTTTCTGTAATACTGTTAAATTTCTGTTAAAAAATTTTTAAACGTTCATACTTACTTATTTTAATTGTGAGGCCTCTAGCAGCCTCCTTTAAAAGGACAGGTGCACCATTTTGGGGGGTCGATTTACGATTTGAATAGTCTTCAGAAGTACTACAAATTTACTCACTATTTCTAAATATATTTTTTCTATATATCACAGAGTATCTGAAAATATTTTTTCTGGACACACATCCATTTGAAAACTCAAAATTCAATGGTGAGCTGTAATCACTATAACTGATCGGCTTAGCTAAAAAAATCTCTTTTCTGAGACTAAAGTATGATGGGTCAAAAAGAATGGTGCACCTGTCCATTTAAAGCTAATGTGAACTTAGCACAAGATATGTTTCTGGAATTCTATTTGTTGATCTTTATGTTCAATGATCAGGATGTCTTTCAATGAAACATGCAAGATAATCCTTGATAGCTTGGCATCCAAAATTTGCATAGAGTGCCCCAAACTTTAATTCAATTTTTGAATTCTTTATGAAAAGCTATTCTTGTATTTTCATGATTGTCTGGTAAAGATTTCATTTATATAAACTTTCACTAAGTATTGTTCATATTTTTGATAGATTTTTATTTATTTCGCTAGTTTATGAAGTGTTTTGTGATATTTATTGTTCATTTAAACTTGTTGATATAATTTTAAATTATGAATACAGAAGATTCATTGTTTATCAGGGATGTTTATTAAACAGTATTAACCAGACATGTTTGACCTGACCAACTAAATGTTAAAACAGTCTTAGATATAGGTTCTTTTGACTGATTCATGTTGAGAACTTGTAAATTCTTTAAATTGCTGGATGATACTGTTGTCTAGGATTGTAACAGAAGATGAAATAATAGGAAACATGCTAAGATTCTCTAAATTGCCTCCTAATAACACTCATGTCTAGCCATTTTCTTGGTCAAGTCATATGTGACTGGCGAGCACTACTAAATCATCTAAACCAATGTGATAATGTAATGTACAATGTATAACCTTTCAGATCATGATTGTAACCAAAGACCAAAACAGCATTAATACCTTTGACCGAAACATCTGAATCTATTCCAGCCTCAGATAGCTATTTGGACAGATGTCAGCTGGTGTAGAGAAAGAAATAAAAAGTCATCTTGGGGGACTTTCCACATCTCTGCAGGTGCAGAGGTTTTAAACATATTTAGATATCTGGTATCTGCAAAACCTAGGTATATTTGGAAAGATGAATATTTTTGTAGTTCAGGCATACCATCTTTTATCCTTGCACCATTTTTTGTCGTGTCTCTGGTTCCATAAAACTGATCTTGCATCAGCCATTTAAAACTGTGTGCACAGTCAAAAGTTCAAAGGTCAAAGAGTCATGTGATACTATCACAACACTAACTTACAGTCATCATTAAGGTAATTCAATATTATGTTACAAAAAAAACTCATCTTCTGAGGTGTGGAAATTTTCCATTAAACAGGGGCCTACTCCAGCCAACAACTGTCAAAATATCAGAGGCTGAGTAGAAGCAGCTATTTCGGACTATAATTACCTCTACTGTTGATCAATCTTGCATTGTTTACTGTATTTATACCGAAGTATAAATGGTTATGCTTTATAAGATTGATTATACAGTAACTTGACATGTATAAGGATATGGCATTCTAAATGTTTCATTTATATAGAGATATTTTTTTATCGCTCTATTGATGCTTCTCATCAGTAGACTTGTTACCCATTTTCTTATGGAGAATACTACTATATCCAGATTATTTTATTTCTAATAATGATGCTTTTCTCTTATATTGTTATGATTTGATGTGCTGTAGACTCTGTGATAATTTGTATTATATATTATACTAGCTGTGATATTAAATTATTAAAATATTCTAGGCCCTGTGTTCTATACACACTTACATGTAATAACACTCGTGGCAGTTGGTATTGACCTTATACAACTTCTATATTTTTCTTGTCGCTATCCCCGTTTTAGCAAGCCTTTGTAGGTAAAAAAAAAAAACTGCGCACTATACACGCAAATATACGGTAATTAAGACTAATATGGACTTTCATTTCATATATTGAAGCTATTATTACTATTATTTAAACTAACTGCACAACAATACTCTCTCACTAGAGGTTAAGCCTGCATGTCCGGGCCTGTGCTTTCGTAACATTACCTAACTGCAATGTTACAACATATTATTCCTAACGAAAATTCCTCAGTTTCACCAGTGAAAAAGTTTTATTATGATTTCCATGGTTCCTATAGAAACCAGTATTCGTCTTATATATTTCAGATTCGGAAGATTTATGGGTCTGCATTCAAATATTCTTTATTTTTAAACTAACCTCACAAACATTGCTCTATCACCAGAGGTTACGCATACATGCCCGTGCCTGTGCTTTTGTAACATTGTTTAACCGCAATGTTACAACCGAAAATTCCTACTATAATAAGACTTGCTTGTTACTGATCCATTGACGGCTGCAGCTGTCTATTCACACTGCACGGTTTCGCCCGTCTTTTTCAGCCGAAGAGGCTAACCTCTAAATTTCTTATGCAACATAAGAATTGTCTTTGAGCCCCCATTAACAATTCTTTTGTACCAACTAGCACTACTTCTACTCTCCCAATGATTCACAGTAACGCCACTGTTCCACAATATAGTAATAATATATACTGTTATACTTGCTCACAATATTCCTATTTCGCCAAGAAACTATTAATGGTTGGAATCACTATCTATGCATAATTTTTATAATAGTATACGGGGTTTCTCAGAGACACACTCTGTGGGTAATATTCATTCTTCAATATTATAACTACAATGTAATTTTATAAGTCGATGTGAGCCAGATGGAATACATGTAGGTGAAAACAATTTTACATACATATATAATACATGTATTATGGTATTGACATTTTTCAAATATATAACAAAAGAATTTTTTTTATATTATTAAAGTAGGTTAGCACAGCGAGTTGCTCAAATCTATAAACCAAAAGTATCCTGCCGTTAAGTTTTACATCACAAAAGCTTTTAGCCAACCTTTTTATAGTCTGTATGTTTGCGTTTGTGTTGGAAAACTAATGTACGGATTCAAGCGAAATAAACACCAACTTGTGGAGAAAATTGCCTGGATGTATTTACTGTTTACTGATGGATAAAAAGATAATTTTGTGGATTAATTTGCTAGTCATAAGAATATAAAATCTTAGACGTTTTTACAGTTTTCAGAGGTATAAAATAATAATTGTTGTATTTAATTTGTATCATATTTGCTGATTCAATAACTGTGATTATAACACATGAATAATGATGTGGAAGTTATTGATTATATAATATAAAGATAGTTTAAGAATACTGTCATCTGTAAGGCATTTATACCTGAAATAACCTCTATAGACAATAAACCTTTTTTGTTGAAAAAAGATCGCAATCAATTTTAGAAGAAGTAATATAATTGTTTTTATTGAAGTAGTGATATAATTGTTTTTATTGAAGAAGTGATTGTTTTATGGAAGAAGTTAGAGAAACAAGTGTTTTTATTGAGAAAAACAATCAGTGCAGTGTCAATAATTGTGTTTTACCTGAAAATAAAGCGTGTTTTTAATTGTATTGGTAATTATTTTCAAAAGCCGCCATGTTGAATCTAGAAGACTTGATAGACAGTGTCGGATCATTTGGTCGCTTTCAGATCATAACAATTATCCTTCTAAATACAAGTTCTTGTTTTATCGCATTTAGCGTATTGATGATGGCGTTCAATGGATACGAAATTAACTGGTGGTGTTTACAAGACAGTCAATCTAGAGAACTAGTAGATGCTGCGTCTCCAGCTTTTAAATACTGTTCTGTGAACAGTACCAATGGATGTATTAGAGTATATGAAATTGGAATCAGAAATGTGATATCAGAGGTATAGTGTGATTCCGTAAATATATTTAAAAAAAACCAATCTGATTAAAATACAGATCTGAGCGCATCATTTTGTGTTGGTCAATTCATATTTCATTCATTACTTCTTTGTCGGCCTCACAATGGAGACCAACGAAAAATAATAACGAAACGAAATTATAATCTAATTTTATAATCTTTTAAAAATTGTTCTCAGTACAAATTTGATCATTGGATCATTACCTGTTAATAAATATTCTAAGTAAACTCACTGTAGCAACAATTTGAGCCAATATTTAACAGTAATTATCTATTATCACATGAATATGTGGTCGTATATTGTCGTTGCCCCTGTCCGTCGGTCCGTCGGTCCGCCCGTCAACATTTCTTGTGAGTACTATAGAGACTACAGTTTTTATCTGATTTTGATAAAACTTGGTGTGATGCTTTAGATTGATAAGATTTCGGTCAAGTTCGAATTTGACATATTTTCGATGAATGGTTTTTGAGATATTGCCCTTGACTTAGAACGCCTTGAAATTTGTTAAAAATTGTTCGTGAGCAGGATTGAAGCTACGTTTTCAACCGATTCTGATGAAACTTGGTGTGATCATTGGAATTGATAAGATCTCGGACAAGTTCTAACTTGACGCATTTTCGATGAACGGCTTTTGAGTTATTGCCCTTGACTTTGTTAAAACGCGTCGAGATTTGTTGAAAATAGTAGGATTGAAGCTTCAGTTTTCATCCGATTCTGATGAAACTTGGTGTGATCATTGAAATTGATAAGATCTCGGACAAGTTTTAACTTGCCGCACTTTCGCTGAACGGTTTTTGAGTTACTGCCCTTGACTTTGTAAAAACGCGTCAAAATGTGTTTGTGAGCACTATAGAAGCTACAGTTTTCAACCAAATTTGATCAAACTTGTTATGATCATTGGAATTGATAAGATCTCGGACAAGTTCTAACTTAAGGCATTTTCAATGAATCTTTTGACTAATCATACTAAGTCTTAGAAACTTTCAGGAATTTTTAAGATGAGCAAATCAGTAATGGTGTTCACAGCTCTCTGTCGAAATTTGACCCTTCAAATCCATGTGTATACAGAATTATCTGCGTTTGAATGTTAAAATGACGACTTGTTAATTTAAGATAATCTGTGATAAACAGAAAAGGCATATATAGAAATATAATAATTCTAGTACTTCTGAAGGCTATTTAGATATTTTCAAGACTAAAACTAACCCCCCAATATGGCACACCTGTCCCTTTAAAAGGATACTACCTCTTAAAATGGACATTCAATTTAAGTCTCAAGCTTGGTCAACAAGACAGTGTATAAATTCATCAGTCAGTTGACATATTGTTGAAAATGTGTGTGTTTATTGAAATTCGAATGGTTAAATATTTTAAAGATTTTTAGTCGAAACATTTATTTATGTATTTTTCCTGTTTCAGTTTGATTTGGTGTGTGAGGATTCGTGGATTCCACCCACCATCACCTCAATACAGATGGTAGGATTGACAATTGGATCATTTCTAGGAGGACAAGCTGGTGATTCCTTTGGTAGAAAACCAACGTGTTACCTCTCAATATTTTTACATTCACTGTTTAATATATTCATCATCTTCTCTACCAACTGGCAATTGTTTGCAGTCTTCAAATTTCTAATAGGATGTGCCATTGGTGTATATTTTGTGGTCATTAGCTACACCACCGAATTCGTTGGATTAACCAAAAGGGCTATGGTGTTATCCCTACCATTCTGGTCCCTAGGGGGGTGTCTTCTAGGTTTATTAGCATATATGGTACCTGACTGGAGATACCTTCATGTTATTATCGGTGTCATAATGCTGCCTTATCTCTTCGGATGGTTGTAAGTTATATTTCACTTACACGTTATTAGTTATATTAGAATTAAAAAACAGCTGAACAAGTAGTCCGAGTTGGCTTTTAACATTGGTCTGAGTCTTTTAAAATTTCATGGGGCGTATAGAAAGTAGTATATTTAATTGATTTATTTTGGACATTATTAAAATATAGGCCTATGTTACAGTTTTGTTCCCGAAAGTGCTAGATGGTTAGCCATAAAGAATCGTATTGAAGAAGCCAAACAAGTGATAGAAATAATAGCCATGAGAAATAAGATGCCAGTACCACAAAAAGCTGAAATGATTATCAGACAAATAGCAAAACAAGAGGAAGGCAGACGGAAATATACTTATTGTGATGTTTTCAATAGTTGCATTGTCTTGAAGAAAACTATTTGTATTTGTATATTGTGGTAAGAAAGTTTGACCCCAATAGGCTGATGACTTCGCTCATACGAATATTGTCTATATGAATGCATTCTTCAATTTCCTTTAAGAAAGTATGAAACATTTTATTCTGACGTATAGACAATCCCTACAGCACCAAAGAGCCTGAGTCTAAGTGCTATAGCGTTTTGGACTATTTGATTTAAGCTCCTTTGAAATACGTACTCTTGTGGAACACCATAAATACAATAAAATCTGTGGATATACCTTCAATAGCAAAAAGAATGGAATCATAGTACATATTATATGTTATATTACGGAGTTATCGACGTCAATAGGTACTGAAATCGAGTATATATTCAATAAAGATCTCGAATCGTTGCAGGTTATTTTGTTCCGTAGTGTATTTCGCTATATCGTTTGATGTTGATGTTTTATCTGGTGATTTATTTGTGAATTTATTTGTAATGAATGTAATTCAGATACCTACAGCTGTACTTTGTATGTATCTCTTGAATAAGTAAGTAATTAGGGCCTACTCGTACTCATTCTTCTTAAGGGGTTGGTATTGCAATCGATCAAGGATCCTGAAGGGGGCCACAGAAAGAAAGAGGTTGAAAAAGACTTTGGGCCTAATCGTACTCATTATTCTACTTTTGGGGTTGGTAATGCAATTGATACGAAATAACTTTTTAGTAGTTAAGAAGTGGACGGAGATACCGAATATGACCTAACTAAACTAGTGTCCAAAGGAAACGATACCAACTTATTTTCAAAATTGTTTTTTACTAAGTGAATTGTCTAGTATGAAAACATGCCAATTCGTATTGCACATCCCAAGCACAGCACAGTCGATAAAAAATACCGGGAAATAGTGATCACTTCCAGAAAAAAACGTAAATTTCGTGAAAGTGACATTTCCCTTTCTAGCATGTTCTGCATGTGCATAAAACTGTATAAAACGGCTGATCAGACACGTTGATATCACAGCAACAAAAAGAACACAAGATATGCCACGTTTGACAGTTTTCGAGAGAGAGAGCCGTTGGAATGGTCCAACAAGGAGCGACACACGTCGACGTCGCAAAAAGGTTGGGCTGCGCACGCATCACTATCACCAGGTTGATGCAGCGGTTACGTCAGACAGTTCAGACGTCAGACAGGCCCAGGAGTGGAAGACCACGAGTAACCACGCCCCGTGAAGATCGTTACATCCAGGTATTACACCCGAGGAACCGCACCGTAAGAGCGACGTCCACGGCGGCTACAGCACTGGGACACAGGATCAGTCGACAAACCGTCTACAGGAGACTACGGCAGTGTGGTATCCGGCCACGTCATCCCTACCGCGGACGGCTCCTGACGCCTTGACACCGGAACAACAGACTGATCTGGACCAGGCGAGTTCGACGTTGGCAACGGCGGGACTGGGCAGGTGTTATGTTCTCTGATGAGAGCAGATTCCTCATCTTCAGAAACGATGGACGGCAGCTTGTATACCGACGATTGGGTGAACGTTTGGCGCCTTACTGTATCCAACAGGTCCGGCCGTTTTGAGGTCGAGGGTTAATGGTTTGGGGTGGCATACGAGGCTTGTCGTAATTCGTGGAAACCTGAATGCACAGCGGTTTATTGATGACATCTTACGGCCTGTTGTGATGCCCTTTATTCAGCAACGTTCAGGTTTTGCCATGGCCCGCATGTTCACCGGACATGAATCCCATCGAGCACTTATGGGACCACCCCGATCGACAAATCCGACGTTGCCGTGTGCCTCCAGTCAACGTCCAGGAACGATGTCTCCTCGAGGAATGGCAACGCATCACTCCCAACGTCATCAGACGTTTGACGTCATCAGTCCGTAGGCGTGTTCTGGCATGTATTGATGCTCACGGTGGACATACCCGCTACTGATTTGACTTTGTGACGTGTGGTGTGACATTTCTTGTTGTTTCTGTGATCGGTGCTCTAACGAAATGTTCATTTTTCGACCCCACCCTTCTTTAAAGGCTTGTCATATTGGTTGAACAGATTTTATTGATTTTTATTGAAATGAAATTTTTGTACAGATGCTGTGAAAGGATTTCTCAAAAGCATAATACCAATCCCAATCTTCTGCATTGTTTAGTTTTTCTTTTATGTCTTGCAAACAGGTGGTATCGTTTCTTTTGGACCCTAGTTTATTACTTGGACTCGAGTCTATTTCTGTTTTATATACTAGATGTGGAAGAAGAGTAACGTTAGCTGTACCGTTATTCCTCATTACTGGTTGTTGTCTGGTCGTACTTATACTTGAACAAGGTCATTATCAAACTTTCAGCTTTCATCTTTTTTTTTAAATTGACGTTAGCATGCTGTCGCCTTGCCGTCTATCAAATCAATCGGCAAGCCGTCAACATTTTTCACTAGTACGATTTTAGGTTTAAATTACACATAATTTGATCAAAATATATTGATATATTTTAAGAAGTTAATGATAACATTCACTTTATTCATGAAATAATATGCATGTATTTAATAGGCTATTTATTACATTTACTTGGCTCATAAGTGTTGAAATTTTATATAAAAAAAGCAACACCACAAACCAACCCCACAACAACCTGGATTTGATGTCAATAAAGTTTCTGTACAGTGTCTTGAGGCTCCTTGAAGTGATAATTTTATACGCCCACATTATAATGTGGTCGTACTTGTTGTGGTCCCCCTGTTCGTCCGACCGCCGGTCCGTCCACAATTAGCTTGTGAACACGACATAGACTACAGTTTTATCTGTCTTTAAATGGTATTTAGCAATAGTAAGCGTAATACATAGGAACAGCTTTATGGAACAACAATCACTGGTCAAAGTTTTATGCAACGTTTCGATGTGTTTCCACCGTCGTCCATCATTTGTAATGATGAGATGTTAGTTAAGTTCAAAATTGACAATATTTCGATAAATGGTTTTTAGTTATTGACCTGGACTTTGAAAATACGTGTCATAATTTGTTTGTGAAAACAATAGAGACACAACAGTGTTATCCGATTTTAATGGAATTAGTTGTGTTCAGTTATAGTGATAAAATCTTGTTTTTTGTTTACGATTTTTCGTTGAATGAAAGTTGAGTTATAGCCCTTGACTACCGCCTCAAAATTTGTTCATGAATACTATAGAGACTATAAAGATTTCATCTGAGTTTAATAATACACAATAAAATTATATTGAATTAGGCTTGTGAACGCGGTACAGGTGACAGTATAAGTCAGCATTTTATTAAATTTTGTATTGGTTTTAATCAACAATATCTTTGATAATTTCAGTGAAAGATGTTCAACAGAGTTCAGTTATTACAGGTTTAACCATAACGTCACTGTTACTGAACGGATGGGCGTGGACAGCATTGGTAGTATTAACAATAGAGTCTTATCCTACTGCAATAAGGTAAGCTTTTTTACCATTAAATGAAATGTATTAAGGTGTACACACACACATTGGCTGAGGTAGTTGATGGTTCTTTTCAGATTTGTATTTCTTGGTCCTCTTTTCAACGATAAATGACAATATTCTAATAAACATAATCTTTAAGATATTGAATTCTTCTAAATTTCATGGCATTTCCCCATTGATTTCATAATCAGAATGTACTCTTTATCCACTTTCTTTTTACACACACACACAACAAACTAGTGGAAACAAATCCGCTATAAGACATCACATCTAGGCATGGTGCGGCTAGCGATTTTTAAGGCCTTCCGGTGGAGACATTGTATTAAAGAGACATAGTTGTCCTGATATATGGTTTTCAGATAATAAGAGCCCCAATTCTATTTCAGAAATTTAGGTCTCGGTACAGCGAATTGTTTTTCTCAAATTGGCGGCATCATAGCTCCTTTTATCTTTAATTTGGTAAGATTTTCTCGATTTCTTGTACACCTCCTAGGTCTTCTTTGTCAGACTAGGAATTATTCCACTTTTCAGCTTCATGCTAGGAACGCTCATTTTCTGGTCCACTTTTCAATCAGTTCTAAAGGGCACTTGTATATTTTGAGATCCAAAACAGCAAAAAAATGAAGATGGGCATAGTAATTAACACTAGTGTTATAATGCATTGTGTTTTGTGAGATTCATATAAGTGTGTTTCTGTGTAATTTCAGAGCTTTAATAAAATGGTACCGTATGTAATTATGGGTATAATGATGGCTATATGTGGCATATGTGCTTTACTTCTACCAGAAACCAACAAAATGGCCCTTGAAGACGCATTACCTGAAATTGAATTATTGGAGAAGACGGTGGAGAATAACAATAACAAGTCCTCTACATGAATCCTGCGTTTTAACTTATGGACCCTAGACCGTGTATCTGTTATTCTATGACATATTCGGGATCACAAATTCTACCGCTGTTATATGTGTTTGAAACAGTATTGTCGACAAACGCCATACAGATTGTCTATAACATATATTTAAAAAAAAGAAAGGAAAACAAGTACGAATGATTCAAACAGTAAAATCGCACATGTACGAGAAAATTTGTGTTTTTTTTTTTTTTGCTATTTACTTAATTTATATATATTGAAATATTAAAACAATATATATTTACGTTCGGTTTGATAACAATCCGAAAATTGATATTTTTGCAACTTTGGACGACAGTTATGTACCACAATCACAATTTGGCTGAGGTAGATGATGCTTCTTTTCAGATTAGTAATTCTTGATCCTCTTTCCAACGATATATGACAATATTCTAATAAACATAATCTTTAAAATATTGAATTGTTCTAAATTTCATGGCATTTTCCATACCAAAGTTCTTTTCATAATCAGAATGTACTCTTTATCCTCTTTCTTTTTAACGATATGCGGCAAGGGTGTTAAAATGCAATATTTGAAATATTCAATTTGACAATATTAAAAAAGAGAAAATATTTTTTTAAATGTTATGATGATCGATACCTGTTAATAAAGTGATGCAACATTGATAATAAACTTGATGATTTGAACTGTTCACATCTGGGTGTACAAACATATTTTTAATGAAATAAAATGAATTGGGTTTTACGTCCATCTTTACTGGACCATGGGAAATCCGATTTAAATTCGATGATCTACTTTCCGTAGACCCATCTGTATAAAAAAAAGTGCACAATCCTCATATTTTAGGCTGGATTGTCACGTGATGTGTCATTCCAGAAGTTCACAGTCAGTAGTATCGGTATATTTTTCAAATACTATTGGAAAATAATTGTGGGACTTTGCTTTAAGCAAAGTCGAAATTTACACACCCTCCTGAGCCTAGTCCGCAGTAGTTGCAGCAACCATTCAACTTCTCTAGACCTTACGTAGTGGCAACGTGTTCCTTAAATATATATTGGAACATTTTTGGAAAACCGGAAGTTCAACATGTGCAAAAAATCGGCTCCAGAAGGCACATTTTTGCATCGATTTTCTTCGGGTTTTCATTTTTACAATCTACCTGTAATTTCTGACCTGATATCACTTGAAAATTTACGAATTCGTCGCTCACGTTTTTCGATCAAATTTTTCAATTTCTTTGCAATTTTTTGTTTTTGCATCGATTGATCTGATATTTGAAATGCAAAGAGACATGCTTCATTGACCTCTTTGCAATGTCATAACGGGTCAAAAGTCTTGCATGCATCAGTGTAATATTCTTTATTCAAGTTTTTTAAAAACTAAATAAAATATATAGTCACCATGCATACTTCATACAATGTGTTCTTAATTAATATTGAAGTTAACAGCCTTTTTATGCAATTTATTGAGCCACTGGTGGCAAGCAACATTCTGCAGTGTGCAATTAAGAAAGTTTGGCCTGGACTTCTAGGGCTCATTTTTTCAAAATTGAAAAAAAATTGAAAATTCTTCATTCAAATATAGAATTATGATTAGTCAGCAAATGTGTCGCACTCCAGTCTTACAATTCTTTATGTAACAAATAATGAGATCAATACAATATCCATATTAATAATTCAACAAGTTAAGTTGAAAATAAGTATCAAACTAAACAATAAATGAAGTTATTTCAGGATTTTAATAAAAGGCACCTGTGTGGCCAAGATAAAAATAAAAGTACTGAGAGAATAAGTCTGTTGGTCATTGCAGACATCATTGTCTTTCTATTATAAAGCAAAAGTAATTTTTTGATACACATCACATACAATTCCCTTGCTACCATGAAGATGTTCAAATAGGAGCATCTTTGAGAATAATAATAGTAGTAATTATAATAATAGGTTGCTTTATTTGTTACTTTTTTTTATACTTCATATGTTTCATAAAAAATACAGCCTGTCGTACATGTACACATGCAATATTCACAATCTTATTATGCAAAAGTACAATAAGGTACACAACAAATTAAAGCTAAACAATTTAAAATTTACAAAAAACAATTTTGTATCTTATTAACTAATATGGTTCCTTTTTTTCTGAAAAAAGTTCCATTAGTTACTTTCTGTTGCCATATTGATTTTTAGAAAGTTCAAAATGAAATATTAGAATAACAATTATTCAAGAAATTTAATACAAACAATACATTTGAAATTATGATATTGAAGCAAAGTACTTAGATACCACTAAAAACAAAGACTTGAGTGTGTTACAGGCTGAAATTGCATAAATCAATATAGGTGTCTTAACCAATTTTTTTGAATTGCACACAGCAGAGTGATGTTGCTTTACTGGCTTAATAACTAGCAGGAAGAACAACAAAAACTTCATTTCACTGCTTGGACAATAAGACAGATAATACACTTATCAAAACAAAGCATTTTTATATGAATTTCTGAAAGTCCAATATGGTTAATTTAAATTGAGATAAATTTCTGATAAATGTCTAATTTCAAAAGGTAATGATGTGAAGTGAATATTATGTTTAAATTTTTTTTAATTAAAATAAATTTAAATCTTTACACAAAACATATTGGGTAAGCATTCCCCTTAAAATCTATTATATGGTCCCTTAAATCAAAGTGTTATCATATTTAAGAAGAAACAAGTGGTTGCCTAGCAAGATACGCCCACTTTCCTGATACTTTGTCAGTATATCAAAGGCGTTCACCAATTTGTGTCAAATCATACCAAAATCTAATTTGTGCAAGATATTGTTGATTTAAAAACACATTATTTAATAAAATTCTGACATAACTGTCACCTCTTTGCCAATAAATTTTGATGCGTTTTTACTAAGTCAAGAGCACTAACTAAAATTCCGTCAATCTTGACTAAGATCTCATCATTATAAATGGTCATACCAAATTTCATATAAATAGGATGAAAACTGTACTCTCTATTGTGTTAAACAAATTTTGCACATTTTTCATAAATCAAGGCAATAACTCAAAAATGTTCATCGAAAGATGGTCAAATTCAAACTTGTCTAAGATCTCATCATTATAATGATGGTCTCTATTGTGTTAACAAACAAATTTTGACGCATTCTTCATAAGTCAAGGGCAATAACTCAAAACACTTCATTGTAAGATAGCCAAATTCAAACTTGTCCAAGATTTTATGATTATAAATATTCACACCAAATTTCATTAAATTGGATGAAAACTGTAGTCTCTATTGTGTTCCCAACCAAATTTTGACTTGTTTTTCATAAGTCAAGGGCAATAACTCAAAGATCTCATTAATCACACCAAATTTCATTCAAATCACATAAAAACTACATTATAATGTGGGCGTATTAAAATAATATGAATTAACAAATTAATGGAATACAATATCAGTTAACTTAAGAAATAGTTCCATGTAGACTAATTCATAATAAATATTCTCTAAACCTTATGCAATTAAAACTTATTTTACTGTTCATTACATCAAAGATCAGTAAAATGCAGAAATGAATGTTTCTTTTTCTTTCTGGAGCTTACAACACTGTCAAAATTATTCATATAACGTTTAATAGAATTTTGCCTAAAAACACAATTGCTGTTGCAGAAAGCTTACTTAGACAACATCCACATTTTTATTTCAGCAAAATAATTAATTTTCTTAATTTCAGATCCATGGAACTATTTGTTTAGAATAAATATGTTAACATTTTAAAAATAATGTATATCAGAGTCTTATTAAAATCTACACTGGATCAACAAGTTATATGATACTAATTTGTAGCTGTGTTTATAGCACCCGAGTAAGTTAGACCATTTACCTCTGTTTTGGGACCAATAATTAAATACCAAAAACCTAAATAATTTGCCTGGTTTAAAATCTTTAGCAAGTGGTTATATTTTCTGCTTTCTCAATAAAATATCTAAAATCTGTCTTTTCACATTCTGAACATTTAAATTCTCACACTGAAAAATATTGAAATACTCATGGTTAATTATAATTTTTTTTAAAAACAGGAATCATACAAATTCAAATATACATCATAATTTTATACAAATGATTGCAGTTCTAATAGAAAATAAGTTTTGTTTGCTTTACCTTTTAGTATTTGATAACCTTTTGTTTAAATTGACCTAATTTCAGTTCTTTTAGAAAACCATAGTACATGTATCTAAAAAAAATTATATCTTCACCTGCTTTGTCTTTGTTAGGGTTGAAATATAGTTGATCAATGTGAAGTGAAGTGGTAGAACATAACCATTTTTTATTGATGTATAAATCATCCTTTGCTCTATTAGCACCTTTAAAAATTACTTCTTCCTTCAATAACTAATTTCACCCATACCACCACACCCCCACCCCACAGAGGTAAATGGTCTGAACAAATTATTGAATTTGAGTTCTGCTAAAATCGTTGTTACTAGCGGCAGAACATACCCACCCTTTGACTCTCTGTGGCTGGATTTGTGAGTTAGGCATTCATCTCAGTGATTCATAATGGCTAATATTGTTTATTTATAAGATATCTCCCTATAATAAGTGGTGATAGTGAGAAAGTGCCGCTCAGCTGTGACACATATCTGATATGGGTGCAGTGTATAAATGATCCAAGTTCTAACCATGCTTTTCCTTGTTATTCTTTAGTCACAATATTTTCGATTGTGTAATAGTGTATATAGTTGGTCTATATATGTTGTATGGTGTATGTTGCTCAGTTGGTGTATGTTGCTCAGTTGGTGTATGTCCTTGTGTTTGTTTATATGTACTGAGTTGTTTTTAATTGAATTTTGTCTTAGTCATTAGTGTTCATTAGTTGTCATTTATGTTCATTTTGTTACCTCAGTGTCACACAGTTGTTCAGTTTGAGTCAAACAGGAAAGATAGGAAATTTAATATTTTATAATAAGGAAACTTCTAGGACTTAGGAGTTTTGTTCACTTGAACGGTTAAAGAGTTTCTAC